AAACCCAGCAATGAAAAGAATATAATTTTCCGCTGTGTTTTGGTTTTTATCACCTTCAGTATTGCTTCTGCTGAACTAATTTTTCTTTTTTACTTTTGTTATTTTATCAGTGTGCTTTTTTTTTATTTTCTCTAAGAAGCAATAGTTTTTGAATATTACTCTGAATTCCAAGAACGACTTCAATACCGTATTGGACGAACATCGATTTTTTCCTTGAATTTTCTGTCCTTTACCTTACTCAGTAAGGCTGAATGTGGTATGCTTAATTGATAAAAAAAAATATCAGTAAAAACGTACAATATACCACCAAAAAAGACAATTTTTTAAATTAAAAATGTTTGAATATGAACGGAAACTACTCTAAATAATAACTCCTAGAATTGAATTAAAAACGTTTTCCAATTGCAGACAGATTAAAGAATTTAATAAGTGGCGTTTGGTGGTAAAACATGGTGCAAAAACTTTCAGATCGATTCCAATTCCTACGTTCCCGACACAGGGATTGATGATCTATGATAGATTGATGATCAATTTGCTAGCTCTAAATGACCATTTGTTTTGTGACTGCAGTCTTTAGATACCCATTTATCCTCTCTTCGTTTCAGGTGGTTAACTAAGCGTTTTCAAAATTATCTGAAACACTTTTGAAAACATTATTTAAGAAAATAGTAACCGTGTGTCTTTAGCGACTATTACCTGCCCTACGAGCCCTTCGAGTTATTAACAATAATAATATTGGTCTATTCTTCTAAAACTTAAAAACTAAATAAAACCGTTTAAAAATGCTAAGAGCATACCCGATTATTTCTAACAAAATAAAAATCTAACCGTGTTAAAATATACTAATCAATTAAAACCGCGGAAGTTTGCATTTTTACGTACCTAGTGATCGAGAGTGTCTCTAAAAATATTTGCAATAGTAAAAGGCAAACTAAATTTCATACAATCCGAACAAGAATGTTATTTCCCAATGTAATTCAACCGGATTCAATTTAAGTGCTAACTGGTATTGAGTTTTTGTTGGTTTCCTCGTTTCGAAGGCTATTTTGCTCTATTAAATTTCCAAACATTCCGCAATTCGACCTTTGCGACCACGCTTGAATTCGTTCCCAAATCCCCATGAATCAATTAGCATGCGGCGAAAAGGCACTTGTTATACCTAAATAGGGTCCAATCAAGGCACTGATTTTAATCAGTTTAAACTCCAAAATTTTAAAAATCTACCCGGTTTCAGGTACTCAATAAAAATGTTAGAATAGGAACCCTTTCAAAGATGAATTGAAATAAAACCGAGTGCATCAGCTTGAAAAAGGGATTTCCAAATCTAGCACAGCTTAAAGCCATTTTGGTCTTCATTCAATTCAGTACTAAATCAATCAAAGCTTGCAGTTCTCGCTATAAATTATATGTTATGGTGGTATAGAAAATAAAGCTTCAAACTACTCAGCATTCAATGCTCAAAGTTGGAATAAGATTTGCCGCTGCTATTTACTGTGCGCTTTGAAGGACGCACGTACTTTAGAAAACATTTTCTATACGGGAGATTTACTGGGTTATTGACGAGGAAATAAATTTTAGAATTAGAGGTAACACGATTTGAAAGGTTATTTCAGAATTGGTTGTTGATTCGATCAATTCCGTGAAAAAGTATTATAGATTTCGTTTAACGCGTCCATGGATATTCCATATAAAGTTGCATTGATACTTTATAGGATTTCATCCGAATCCACAAATACTCCATTTAATTAATATTAAGCGAACACTACATACGGTAGGGAAAAAATAATGACGTAATCTGCACAATTACACTGAATTAACATGGACATCAATTTCCTTAATTTGTTTGTCTATTCGCAAATGTATCGTTTTCTATATTAGATATGGCGAAATTCGATATAGACAGAACACACACCTATAAAAAAATTAATATCCATAATCGTTTAATGGAAAGTTGATTAGGTGGTGCTGCAAAAAATAAAACGGTCGTCAGTTAATGTTCGGTAATATAAGAGCGGGGCGGTTTCGTATTCCTAAGATCAGCTTCTAGTGCATATAAGGTACGTTTTGGCGAAATTGCTTTAACTCTTTTTGTAAAAGTAATTGGATTATTTTCTACCGAGACAGTCCAAAAAAAAATATTAAAACAGGAAAATTATGCACAATTGAATTGATATAAGAAAGGTTCATTTATAAGCCAACTTATACGGTAATTTTCAAGATGGCTCATTATTGAAAATCTGGTCTAAATAGATCAGAAAATTGCAAGTAAAACTACCAAAGCAGATTTAATAACAGGGCGATTGACAATACAAAAACAACATTATGTAATGTTAACAAAACAATTACTTTAAAGCGGCTCAGCAAAAAGCAAATAACCTCATGAAAACAACAATTGTAATTCCACCAAAAAGATAAGCTCGTGCTGCTAATAAGAAAATGTGGATTAAAAGATACATACATTGCAGAAATAAATCTACAAATCGTTCATAGCTAGAGCAAAGGAAACACCTAACGCTATACTGTTTCCATTAATAACTCACATTCAAAATCATCAAAAGGATCAACGCATATTATATATCAGACGATAATTTTTCTGTTTTTTTATGTAGGTTATACTGATTTATATCCGCGATATCCCGTTGTATTGTTGAATGCAAGTGACATCGGATTTTTTCCTAATAATTCCATGTTCTTCTAATTTTTTTACTCCTAACATATAATTTCTTCATCTCTTTATCAGTATTTTCGGTCAATAATAATTTATTCACTGAGATATCGCTTAGTTTGCTTCATAACGTTGTAGTTAGAATCGGGCGTTAGAATTATTATAATGAGGAAAGATAAATTACAATTTATATGAGACTAAAATTATAAACACGCTTTTAAGCCATCAATAGAAACAGCCAAATAATTTAAAAATACAACAAGAACACTATGGTTTAACCACAAAGTCGACACTTAAACTGACTTTAGCTTCCTAATGGTGCAGTATTGTTACTTAAACCAATATTTCAAATACCTTTAAAATTCAGGGAATATCAAAAGTAAATTAGGTTTCAAATCGTTCTTTATTGAAACTTTTCACGTTTAACAAATGTCTGTTATTTTTTATTTAGAATACTTCAATTTTGTCTAAGATTTGAAAGTACGTATTCCAGAACTAAATATTTAATATTCTAGTATAAATTATACCAGTAGAATAAAACAGCACAGTGAAAGTTATTAGAAAGTATTATAAAAATACACATACACTGTGGGTAAAGGGAAACGAACAACAATTTTGGACACTAAATTACGGCAAAGAGCCTTTCAAACAAGATAAATTTATCTTTAATTAAGACTCATTATCCCATTTAAAATTTTGAGGGTTGGTCCCACCTTGGCCAAGAGATGATCTATCAGGGTTACATTATTTTTTAAAATGTTTCTTCCTGGAAATTAAAATTTACTTTTCTTAATTCGTAATGTAAAGGCTGGAAATTGTTGTAATTTGGTTTTTGCTTCGACACCCTGTATATTGCAAGTAGGTACAAAAGAATAAAAATTAGAAAATGTATGTCTAAATGTATTACCTATGCCAACAACACGTTATTGTAAACAATGATTATTTCCTACGATAATTGATAGGTATTATTATTATTATTATTATGATTTTAACACGCTTTATCTTAAATCTATTCATATAAACAATCAATATCAATCATGTTGATAAGATCGAAATACAATCAATGGCACAATGCTTACTATCAAATTTTGTCCACTTGTAATATTATAGCCGAGTATTTTATCGAAACAACTTCAAAAAAATGTTCGAATATAATAAATGCCTACTTCTGACTTTTAGGATAAGTAGTTGTTTCTCAAGTATATTACGTAAGTCATCTTCTCATTTAAATTACGTCCCAATCGTTAGTGAACTGGAAGGCATTAGTTAAAAGGTAATTAAATAATTTTCCATACCAGCAATCGTAAAAAAGTGGACAAAAATTGCAACATTAGAAGAAATACGTTATTTTGAGGATTTATAGTGTCCTAAAGAGAATCTTGTGACTAATATAGGCACGCAAAATGTGCAAGGATGCAATTTTTTCGTAGAGTAGCTGGGAAAGGATATTTCATTTTCATATTTTTAGCGCGCAATTTGGGTTTAAATATGCTCCTCTGAAGTTGAACTCCTTGAAACCTTCGGAACTCAAAGCAATCAAAGCGCCATTAATTGCTTATAATTTCAATAATAACCAAGAAGGACAAAAATACGTTCTTATAAAAAAATACGTTTCTTTGGCAAAGTCCTAGATATACTTTCAACCATAACAGATGAAGCACGATGTCTGTATATTATTGGAAAATTTGATGTAAATAAAACCCACCGTTTCTGAAATATTTGCAATTTTCGAGAAATTATAACGCTGCACAGAAACACGCTTTTGAGCTGACAATAAAATATAACTGAAACTGGACAATTTACTGTTGTATTTTAGAGGCTGCAAAATGAGCTTCAAATAAAAGAAAGGACCGGTAAGTTTGCGAAGCGCGCTGTTTTATTCTAAAATGTTCCCATGCGTTTTAGTAAAATTAATATTTGCTTAAACGTTTCTTATTGTTTCCAAAATCGGTATAAAAGGGTATTCTTGGTAAAAGAACTTTTTCGTAGCTACCATTTAGTTCAAGGTTCAAACGGTTTTAGCAGCAGATTTGTAAAATATGAAAATCATATTTTAAGATCGATATTATAACATTTATTATACTTTTTTTGTTGTTTTCGATTAGGGATTTTCTTGCAAAACTAATAAAACTTGAAACCGTCCAACAATTTTTTTGGCGGTGGAAATTTAGAAAATTCATTATTTTCGCGGAGAAACCCTCGATCGTAAAATTGGGTTCGAAGCACTCCTTTAAAATATATGTCCATCATTGTGAAGCAATCAAATCCTGTTTCATTTTATATAATATTTTGATGACAACCGATCAATACTTATTTCGAATTACTATTGTTACAGAAAAATGAAATCTAATAATCAGCACATTAAAACAGTGCAACACCGACTGGAAAAGGCCGCAAATGAAACACGGATAGAGTGTATTTCGAAATACAGCCATGAATTGAGACTGGATACACAAAATAATCCTTATATCGAGCCACTAACGAAAAGTAAGTAAATTTATTGAAGTCTCAATTATTCCGCATCATTTAAAACTTGTTGCAGAAATTATGTGCCCTCCATATTTTGACACAATCATCTGTTGGCCTCCTCAGCTCCCAAATACAACAGCGTCCACATCGTGTCCATCATATGTCTTTGGATTCAGTAAAGTAGGTGTATCATATATTATTTTTTGCCTATACAATCTATTAAATGTAGCAGTTTTTTTGCAATCGTGAACATTATTGCTGTCATATTGAAGCTTACGCATATTTAACCGACACTTCACTAAATGCTTAAGAGGCAAGATTATTTTCAATGCTGATATGGCGCAGACATTGATAATAGGGCTCGGAATCCAACTCGAATAATTCGAGTATTCGAATATTTGAAAAGCGAAAAGCCAAAAATAATACGAGATAACGATTTTTCTTCTTGGAAAACAGTGTACGGAAAACGAACACTCGAATATCTAACGAATACGAATAGAAATACTCGAATATTCGTTTGATATTCGAGTATTCGAATAATTTTACTTTTCGAATAAACCACTAAACGAATATTCGAATATCAGATTTTTTTAAAGTCCGAGACCTAATTGATAAGCTTGTTCAAGCGCAGGAAAATTGATTTAAAACAATTGGGCACTCAAAAATTGTGGCGAATGAAGGCATTGACTGATTTGGAGGATATTTTTACAATTCGAATAAATATATGAAGATCGTATGCAATTTATATTATTTTCCTAAATAATCCACTGCTGGTCCAAACATTTCCAATAAGTAATAGCATGAACAATCAAGTTTTTAGTGCAAAATAACCAATGACTGCATGTTACTTAACAGGCGAATTGATATTCATTTGCTCTTTCAGCAACAAAACAAATTTATTCAAAAATACGCAATAAAATGTGATAAATAATAAGTTACCCAAGAAATTCGACAACATAGCTTTATTGAATATATGAATAGTTACAAATATAAACAATAATCACACATTCATTCATTCATTCATTTCCTCGTCTTCCTCCTCATCTTTGGAAGATATCTGCTCAAAACCTTCCCCTTTGGTCCACCTGCCTTTCAAGATCAATTTGAACGTGGCCAATTTGTTTTCTAACAGCTCCAATATTTTGGCCTGCTCAGGGGTGAGTATAGACCCTTCTTTGCACACCTCAAAGTCCTTTATTAACGTAACTACCCCTAAAATGTAAAAAAAATGTTTCAGATTCCACAAATTACACATCAAATACTGTGAAATTACCTCGTTCTAATTTGGTGGGCATTCCCAATTGCCTCAAATAGGGCTCCATGGCATGTGAGAATTGCGATAAAGGACCCTCGGATAAAAGAATTGTTTCTGTGGCTTTACAGCCTGATCTAGCAAAGTCTTCTACCGAAAAGTCATCAAACCATTCAGTAACCTCTTTTTTACTACAATCTGTAAACAAGAGCCCGCACTGGCCTTTGAGGGATTTTGAGAGCTGCAACAATACGAAATTTAAACATAATGAACCAATACTAAAGGAGCTTATTCAAATTAGTTTTTGAAGAACTTCAGGTATACTCACTTCATGTAGACCGTCTTCGACCTCTTCAGCCTCAGATCGGCCCAATCCTATGGCAATAACTTTATTTTTGCCGAAGAAAAACCTGCTTGGTTTCCACTGCTCTCGAACCTCCTTCATCTTCTCATTCCTCATATTCCTAAACGTGAATACATAGATGTTCTGGTACTTTTCCACACAATTTCGAACATCGTCGACAATTTTCTGTTTCAATGCTAGTCCTTTTTTGCTAGTTTTGGTTAAAGAAACTGAAAAATGTGGTTGATTTAGAGGTTATTTCAAACAAAACCTTTTTTGTACTGTGCGAATTTTTTACTTCAAAACCATACTTACTCTTTTTGTCCCTTTTGGATTTAGGCATCTTGCTTGATCAATTCACATATAAATATCACTAAAATTGTTTCTATTTCAACAAATGCTCGAATTTCAATTTTCTAACCTAAACACCGCCAGAGACACCGCTACAGAAACATACCCACAGATCACAGAGGTTATCTGTAATCTGTGAACAGACCAATCAGAATACATGACATTGGCGAACTGTTAATACATTGTTGCCAGTATTTCAGTAGAAATTTACAACAGTTATATAAAAGTAGTTGAGATTCAACAAATGGATCAAAAAGTGTTTTTATTTTGTGGGAATTATCTGCATTTTTCATGTTCAAGATGAAAATATTTATGATTTGTCTACAATTAACAACATACGGTGCTTCCAGAGTATGTAAATGGAAATTAAAAGTGTTCTTGCCACATATATAAAGCAAGTGGAATTAATCAAAATGGAATGCAATGGATAAATTTTAGCATTTATAAATGTTGTGAGAATAATTTTTATAGTTAAGAGAAAAATTGGTCAAATAACGGTAAAAGAATTCACATCTGGCAACGCAGCCACTGAAACATCAATGACCTCTCTCTCTCTCTACATGATGTAAGAGACAGAACTGCGTAGCGTAATGTAGTGCGTAAAAATTACGAGGGTTGCTCCATTATTACTCCACATTTATTAAGCTTATACAGGATGTTACTCAAGGACCCTCATTTTTAAGGCGCATTCTGAAATAAATTCGAATAAAGGTATGGATTTCAAAAAACTTTCAATTTTCAATTTTCTGTTATATTCTTATATTTTTTTTATTTATAAGAATGTAAAAATTCCCTATTAAAAGATATTGTGCAACGAGCATAGTTCCCTTGATTTTATTTTAATTGCTTTTTACATAAAATTTATATGTAATAAACGGTTTTACATTATTTGTCCGAAGTCAATAAAGCTGGGAACTTGGCAACTAATGACAATCGACGAAAAAGATTAATTCGCAAATAACCGATTTTAATTAAACCAAAAAAAATACATGTTTTCTTTGAAAGTCAGAAGCAATTTTTTGTCTACATTATTCGTAACATCCAGAACACCATCAGAACCCACAATCTAATTAGAACTGACTTGGTATCTTACTACAATAAACAACTGACCTAAATTTCAACAAAATCATACAAAGGGTTTTTCAGAAAGCACCAAAAAATAGAACAATTTTTTGTAGTTTCGATACTGTCAAATGGTCAGAAATTTCTCTTTCCACTTTATTTGAAAGATATAAATTTATATAGGAATTAATTTATTTCGGCGTAACACCGAAGTCTGAGAAAAACCGACTACACTTTCTTATATCAATTTAAAGCTGTTTCACAGATAACCATTCTATTTTAACTTATTTCACGACGTATAATATATTAGGATTTAAAAATGTTTGCACTAGTTTTTTTTTCTGAGAATTTGTACAAAAATTTGAAGGCAGAGCTACATTTTAAACGCTAGTTTCTATTAAAATTTGGTACTAAAAGCACTACGCAGTGGAGTACCAGCACTTAGATTGACTTTAACAACTAGACAAAAACCAAGAGTAAATGATTGAGTGTAATTTTTAATTTTGTATTATTTTAGATACAGAATGCTACACGATTTTGCCTTGAAACTGGCCAGTGGTTGGTTAATGCAAAAGGAATGCCTTTTACGAATTTTTCTACGTGTGGCAACAAAACTGCTACAGTTTTCGTTAAAGAAGACTTAGTTTCACAAATGCCAACTTACGACATTTCAGAAGAAACCGTGGTGAGTACCTTGTGGAATTATTAATCTCAAAAATAATTTAAAGTAATTAATTTATCATATTTCCACAGTCGCATTTCTTAAACAGTAAAAACGATGTTTCTAAACTATCAGTGTATTATGATTTCTTGAGTAGTTTTATTATATAGGGTGGTCTGAAATATGTCAATGAATTAAGGAGATACTATTCTAAAAAAAACTGTACTGCATTTTTTTCCAATAGTTTCGGAAACCGTTTTCCTTCTGCGTGATGTCGGAATTTTCATTCTATTTACTACATTTTTTGCTACAAATTTGGAAAAATAAATGTCACTTGGTGAACAAAAGTTACTCATATAGCAATATTTTATTACATTTTCGAATAATTTTAATTAATATTAATAGTTAATAAACGAAGTTCACAGCTTGCTGGTGTTCTGACACAAATGGTTTTAAGCGAACAAAACTATTTGGTTTGAATTGTTAATTTTGTATTTATATTTCAATGCATTTTAATTTTATTTCTTCAAAGATTTTACTTGTTCTCCTTTCATAGCAATATGCGCGTGAAAAAAAATTGAAAACTTTACAGTCAGTCAGCAAGTCCGAATCGCCTAATTGAAAATAAAACAACTACCAAACAAAAAACTAACTAAGCAAGAAATGAAGTACGCGTTTTTCTTCTTTCCGGAAGAATTCTCCGAGCCCTTATAAAACTGCTTACTGTTTTTTCACTGTCATTTTTTTCTAATTTATTCTATTAATTAAAGCGCAACAAAATTAATAAGATTTGGATGGATGTAGTGTTTTGTTGAGTTAACCAAAATTTAGATTCTTACTGTACCTGGACCCGCTAGATAAAAAAGTAGACATTTTATCTAACATAAAACCCCTTGTATTACTTGTATATATTTGAGAATCTTACTATACTAATTGGTTCCAGGATTTAATTATGGGAATAAGCGAAACTGGATACGCCATATCACTGATCACTCTTCTAATCGCTTTCACGATTATGTTTAAAATAAAGTTAGTAAAAAATTACATTTTTTCGTTTTTCGTTTTATATTACCCATGTTGTAAAATTTTCTTTAGGAAACTTCACTGTGCAAGGAACATTCTACATATGAATCTCTTCGCTTCATTCATTTTGAGATCATTTATGCATATTATGAAAAACTCGCTATTCATGGATGGACTGGGCCTGTCCAAGGATATAGTTGAACGAAATGGATCGAACGTTTTTCACGTTCAAGCTGATGTAGGTGTTTTCACTAGCATTGCAAATATCGTTAACATATTATTTGCCGATTTCTTAGGGAAACAACTTTGAATGCAAACTGATTGTTAGTCTAGTACAGTACTTTACAACAGCAAACTACTCATGGATACTAATGGAAGGGCTATACTTAAACAACTTGATTTTGCGTGCTCTATTTACAGATTCCAATAAGAATTTGATTTACTATATTACTTTCGGATGGGGTGAGTATTTCAACTTTATATGAAAGTCTTTTTAAGGTATCTCGTTCTTTTCCACCATAGGACTGCCCCTGTTGGTTGTTGTACCATGGGTAATAGCTCGCATCCTATTTGACGACACTCTTTGTTGGACCACTAACGACAATTTTGAAGTGTTTCTTATTATTATTATTCCAACATTTACATCTGTCTTGGTAAGGATATTTTGACTCTTTAAGTAACTGCGCAGTTAGCAGATCTAGAATCTGCGCAGATTCTAGATCGAGAATAATAGAATTTGGTCAATCAAGATCAGTGGTTTCCGTACAATTTTAAATACTCTTTGTTAAGTGGCTAGATTGGGCTGAACCGTTTTATGACAAGATATACCTACAATATGGGTAATGGCCATTTTTGCAAAGCGCTCCGATAAATAGTTTTCGAACAATTGTACTTTCACATAAAAAAAACGCGATTAAAAATCTGAAGACGATCCACTGTATAAAGGTGGTCAAAGTGCAAAAAAGTGAGTAATAATTTTTCGGCTAGAGTGCCTAATAACTAGGCCACTGGAAACGTCCGAAAATGTTTTAACATTGAAATTTTTCGACCAAACTGAGTCTCTGAGCTACAAAAAGGCATTTTAGATAAAAAAGTTCCACACCAGAAGCTATCCTCCGATAAACGGTTTTCGAGCAATTGTAATTCCACTGGAAAAATCAAATATCTCTTGAACAAAAAAACAAAGTCACCTTTTTTACAAAACCCGTCGACCAACAATTTTCGAGAACTTGCAATTCCACCAAAAAAGTCACATACCTTCGGAATGAGACCCGCAATTAAAAACCCGAGAACGCAACTGGTTACTGTTAATTCGCTGTTAAGCTTATAAAATTCAATTTTCCGCTAAAGTGCCTACATATAAATGAACACAAAAACTTTTTAAAATGCTTCCTCGGAAATCATCAATATTTGACTGAGAGCTCTTTGGATAAATCCTATTATTTTAAGATGTAGAAACGAAAGAGTCCTTTTGATTACGGGCCATCTTGCATAACTTTATAACTTTTCAGGTGAATCTGGTTCTGTTCGTAATCATTTCCGTCGTGCTTTACAACAAACTAAAATCTCCAATCAATGAGGATTCCAGAAGGTACCTTAAATGGGCCAAATCCACCTTGGTTCTGGTGCCTCTGTTCGGCGTCAATTATGCCATTTTCCTGATTTTCTACTTCTTGAATGAGCAAACCATTTGGATGGTTGGTGATGCCCTTTTCGGCAGTTTTCAAGTAAGTACTCAAAGACCAATTTATCCGAGGTAACTGATATTTTTCCACCATCCATAAGTCGGTGGCGCAAGTTGAAATGTCCTCTCTACTAATAATTATTTTGGGTTTTAAGGGTTTTTTTGTGGCAATACTCTACTGCTTTTTGAATGGTGAAGTGAAAGCCGAGATCAAGCCCTACATGAGCACCGTTTTGGTATTCCTGGCAACAAACTGCGTTACAAAACATTGTTTTCCCAGCCGCGAAAAATATCTAAGGTTTGCTTAATAAAAATTAATGCTTTGAAGCTCGTCTGTGTGTAAAATTGCAGTAAAATTTGAGAATCATTTTGCAGCTCAGCCGTCGGACGACAATCAGTTTGCACGACGATGTCTTGTAGCTCTTTGTACAACAACGGCGTGTGTCATCGCAACAGCAAAACCAAATTTGATCAACTCTCCAAAATCAAACTCTCCAATCTCCATGAAGGTAGAACATGTTAATTTTTTATTTTTTTAGATACATTTTCACTGTCTCATTATTTCTTAGATAACTCGAAGGAATTGTTCATACCAAATGGTGTGCGCCATTCAGTTCCCAAAACTGGATCAGTTGGCCATTATGTACCAAATTTAACATTTATCCACGGAAGATATCCAATGAATGCAACCACGAATGTAAGTTTTCTATGTAAACAGTTAAATAGAGCTAAAATAATTTTCTAGTTTGATACATCGGCCAACGACACGCGTCCACATCACTATTCCCAAAATTTACCAACATGCGAGGAAGAAGTTTGCATGTTAGAAGATTCTAAAAAGCCACAAGATATGAATACGAACTGAAGCACCTATCAATACGTAACTTTCTACTCCAGATACAGAGTTTTCTAATAATGCTGGACTGTAGCGGTAAAAAAAATGAGTTTTTTTAAAGCCGCATTTGCAACTACAATTAAAAAATGTACATCTGTCGCAATTGGTTTCTGTACAGATTTATCAATATCTTAAACTGTCCTGTCTAAAGTGTAATGGAAAATGCGAATTTCCAAACCAAAATATCCTGTATAGATTAGATAATTCTGAAGAAATCGCAGATGATCACTTTCCCAACACATCCAGAATAAATAGCTACCAAATATATGTCACGAAATTCACAATCATATTGTGAGTGCTACTGAAAGTAAATTAACTGTGCTATATATTAAGTTAAATTAGATCGTAAAAGTTAGTATTAAAAGTGACCATATATGTAAAAGCTAGATATTTATTTAAACATATTTCTTCTAATCATAAACTAAAATTAATCTGAATGTAAACAAGGTAATCACTATGTGATATTTTTTACCAGTAGTTTGATTGTATAACATTTTACTACTACTTGCTCCACACCTATGAGTCGATACTTTTTCGAAAAGTCGAAAATTTAACTAAGACGGTAAAAATTATATGTTCAAATACGTATTTGTATCATTCAAAATATGTTTAGCTTGTAAGCCAAAAGACCATGTAAATCAATTCCGACTTTTAAAAAACAGACCCGAATAATTTGTTTTAGTTGATGTATGCAACACATATCTGTAAAACATGAACTAGCTATGTGTACCTGTGAAGTGTTTTCTTTTTCACGCTTTAGATTGTATTTTTTAATCAAATTAAATAAACGACTACAAAACAAAAAGCAATTTACTTTCCTTATAAATAATTTTTTAGCATTTCTATTCAATTGCATTAAATAGTTTTTATTTTCTCATCATTTTAGATGCTGGTTTTAAATATTTGCAGTTAATACCACTTTTCCGAGAGCTGTTGCTGTAGGTAAGATCGGTCCCATAATATAATAATATAATTTATTTGAGACGATTAAAAAGCTCAAATGGAGATCGAATGTTTTTCGGATGAAAATTGTATGAAAAACACAACTCGTTTAAATTCACCCTACAACCTCTGCGACGCCTGAATGCGTATTTTGGTAAGTAATTTAGCAAAATTAAACTTTCTACAAAAGACTTCTGATAATAGAGAATAATCGAATATCAATTTTCTGGAAAAAAATTCCCTGCATTTTTAGAGTCTACGAGAAATGCTGAGTGAGCATTTTAGTGAGAAATTTATTTAGAACATATTCAACACGAAAATGCATTTTCTTGCCTTATAATGATCATGGCTGTTAAATTTCGATTACCCTGTTCGTGTGCAAAATTGCAAATTATTTTCCATCCTTTCATTCCTTGTAATTAAAAAGTAAACGCAACTTTTTTCAAAATTATAAAACAAAACAAAAATGTTAATTTCAAGTTTTTTTTTCAACTATCCGTGATATTGATGAATGGAGTTCATTTATTTTTGGGCCGGTAGCGAACAGTTTGTGCATCTTTAAAAAAAACCTTTTATTAATAATTTTTTATTTTCAATTTAAACAAAACATTCTATTGAAATGAATGAAAATTTTATCTATGGCGTTTAATGCCAAAAATGTTAAATTCAAAAGTTTTTTTTTATTATCCGTGATATTGATGGATTGAGTTAATTTATTTTGAGCTGGTAGCGAACAGTTTGTGCATCTTTTAAAAAACCTTTTAGTAATAATTTTTTAGTTTCAATTTAAACAAAACATTCCATTGAAGTTAACTTGTTGAATGAATTCATGAAAATTTTATCCAAAGGCGTTTCGCGTTCTTCTGAGCTGGAACTTCTTCGACTCCAATTTATAGGTACATATATATTTAAAGATAATACGTTTAATGTGTCCTGATTTATATAGCAATAAAAAACAAATTTATCATCTTCTTTAAAGTATAAGTATGAAATTATCCACCTTGTTTAGATAATTTAAATACTTGTTTCCGAAAAATCGTCCAGTTGACGATGCCCACATAAGTGAAATCGTCGTTTCAGATGAACGCAAATCGGAATAGGACGCTTTCAAAGGCAAGCAAACATAATTTTTTTTAATTTGCTAGTTTAAATTTATATTATCAAGTATAGTGAAATTGCCAATTAAGCCTAAATAAGGGAATAATAAAAACGTAATACGCAAAAATATTTATTTATATACCTTCATAAACCTTCAACAGTAAAAAACAGTAAAATGTCAATAAATTACATAATATAAACCACATAAACAAAAAACTAAAAAATAATATTTGACTTTGGTTACAACTGCAACAATCAGTCGCTATCGGAATCAACATTATACACCGTTTCCAATAATAAGCTATTTTCATTGTCCGATGTGAAGCATCCATTCATATGAGATTGCATTTGTTCTTCTGCAATTAGTTCCAAGCAAAAAGGGCAATTGTAGCAATTTTCTTTATTGTCACTATCTTCAATGTCTTCTATAGGCACTTGCGAAGTGTCGAAAATGTTGCTCATACTCATACAGTCGTCTAAATGCACATCCAAATCTTTTTTCACGATTTGTTTACCACAAGCCAAACAGGAAGTAACCTGATTTTCAACTATGGGACATTTTCTATCAAACTCCTTCATATTGGATAAACAATTTTTCAAATGAATATCATACTGTTGGGATGCTACCATTTTCTTGCAAACAGAACAGGTTTGAAAGCGATGTTTTCCTTTGCATGTATCTGAATGTTTTGGGTCATTTTTATGGTCAATTTTTTTAGCACACATCGGGCATTCAGTTAAATTTGCTTCGGCCTCAAAATCATCATTAAAATTTTTCGAAGCACAATCTGAAACGTGCTTTTGAAGCTCCTGCTTAGGTATTTCAGCCGAACAAATCAAACATTCTTGGCTCTGATTTTTTAAGCAATTATCCAAATGATCATTCAAAAGTTCCATTTTAAAAAGCCGCCCACATACGGGGCATTTTGCTTCGCTGGCATCTTCCCTTCTATCACTGCATAATTTAGGAACTTTTTGAGGACTTGAGGGAAGAGTTGAAGAAGGACGCCTTTTCGCGCCAGTCCCTTTCAGATCTGGATTCGATTTTTTATCGAACTTTTTCAGCCAATGCTCTCTTACTTTCGAATAACTTTGGCTAGTCGAAGAAGAGGTGCTGCTGGGGTGGCTTAGGTTTCTCCCAACACCGCTAAATGGCTGCACTTCTGCTACCGCATTGGAGCCAACTTTCTTTGAATCGTCCTTAGAAGCAGCATTGGGTTTCGTCCTGCTTCCTTTATTTGTTACCACAAATGTGCTGCTTCCAGAGTTCTTCACCGCCGTTGCAGTCGGTCTCTTTGAATGGCTTGTAACGTTAGTAAACCCGAAAATGTTACTAGCTTTGGATGGAATTACGTTGCTGACTTTTGGGCAATTTTCAGACGTATTAGATACCGTATGGATTTTATTTGGGTATGATAAACTTGAGGCCACAGAATCCTTCAGATTTGCAGCCAATGGTGGCTTACTAGTAGACGAAATATATTTTCTAATGTCATTATTTGAAGATGGTTTGGTAGATTCAGACTTTGTCTGTGTCGATGTTGCAGTAGCTGCTTTGGTCCCTTTACCTTTTTGTTGTTTGGCAGGTAATTCGGGACTTTTAATCTATAACACAAAGGGTTACACTGAACTGAACTACGTAATTCATCCCAAATTAGAATTGGCTACTGTTAGGTTACGTAAAATGTATACGAATGTGCTCCCAGCCCAACACAATAGGTGCAATTTTGTATAGAAAATAATACTTGGGAATAAAAATCATGCATAAAAAGCATACGACATGCCAGGCCGTTTGTTGTATAAATTGAACGTTGTTTTAAACCAGTGTTTACAAGTATTGGGCACATCCTAGAACAAAATAATTACAACTAACTAAATGGATTAATGAGTTGACTTTTCAAAATGTAAATGCCTCTGTGATTGATGATGATTAACTGGTATAAAACCTGCTTGTATTTCTAATAACTTAAAAATTAATTAAACTGAAAATCAGCTGGCTATACCTAGAAAGGAATTGAACGGGGGAAAATTTAGAATTTTTTGGTTGTCGAAATGATCCATACAATTTCTATAAAATAGGGTTCAAATCCAAATCGATCTTCAAGTTTAATAAAACGACGCCCCAAAAAAAATTTTGGCTTTTAATATTAGCATAGTTAAGAATCAATTTTTTTAAATACTGGTATAATTATTGTTATAATGTGCGCCAGATTTTCAAATAAATAGTATTCGCTTTCCAAATGAAAGACAAGAACGAATCACCAAAACGCAAATAGACGCACGCAATGAACACACATTAAGGATTGTTGTTAGATGGTGCCGATCTATGTGAGATGATTCATTGGCTAAAGAACATGCACTTATTTTGCGATTTCTTTTCGTCATGCAAATTACCGCAAACCACGCCAAAAACGCCGCAAAAAACCGCAACACTATACGTTATAACTTATATTTACATTTTATCTGATCCTCGCTAGTTGGAGTTGCAAACATACCTTAATAAATTGTCCGCCACAATTCCTCATGTGCTCCGGAAACCACCGATCATTGGGGCCCGGAGCCCTATTAGTGGCTCTCCTGACAACACCAAAATAGGGTTTATTATATTGGCAAGGGCCGTTACACTTCCACCAATGCTGTTTGTATTGTCTTACTTCATCATAGAAATCGTGGTAAATGGTAATATTTGTGCCTAAAACAAAATAGATGTATTTTTAGTTAAATAGAGAAGTTATGGAATGCATGATTTTTTTTACAAAAAAAGAATTATTTAACAACGCAGAACAGCCAAGTGTGGGTAACATTCGGTTAACAATGTAATTATTTGCTATTTTTTCCGGATAGATATACTTAGGAGTATTGAATATTGCGTGCTTTTAATATTTACACGTATCTGCGTTGTTCGAAGCCTTGCAAAATCACCGTTTTTAGACCACAATTTTGCAACAATTAATTTCAATGAACGGAACACTCAGTGCAGGGTTAACGGATTATTTATTTCTTAGTCTGTGTGAGCAATTCACCAAACATGCATCTGGGTTCGTTTATTTCGTCACATATTTTTTCGCACTATTCTTAATCGTCAAAGCTATTTTCGACAAAAAATGGAGTGTAATGTTTAATCTGCTCACTAACCTGCTTCAGCATTGATCCTGTACATATGCTTTTGAAACTCTGGGCCATGACCATCTTTGTCTCTATTATTATGAGTAACAAATAAATACGCATGGATCATTTCATGAAGAAGAGTTTCCACCAAGTCTTTCCTGGGCCTGAGTTTCAGTAGAGGCTCACTTAAAGTGATCGAGCACATGCCTCCTCTGCCTACATAAAATTCAATGCTCTTAAAAATTGACTTTCATGATTGTATTCATCTAAAATATTACCTTGATATGAACAAATCCCAGCACAACTGGTCATTCTTTTACTCCAAGACACGGTCACAGATTCCAAAGCATTCCAGAAAAACTTTTTATTGAAGGCCATAAACAGAACATGTACATCTGGAGTGGGATCGATCACCTCCCAAGAAGGATCCACAAGACATTTGCTGTTGTTTAAGTTTCTTTGGGTTTTGTATACCAAATTATTCCCTGGTCTTTCAGTCTCAACTTCAGCGTGGAACTGCTCCTGAAGCCGCAGTGCGAGTGCACGATCTGCGTCGTGGGTGTCTCCTCTTTTATTTTCTTGCTCAAATTTGTATTGAAGCAGCAAAGCCATCTGGTAATCGACTTCACCCATCCTAAGAGAAAATCACAAGGATAACTCCTGAGGAAATTAAAAAATCCAGCTCTGTTTACCTGCTAACTGTGGAATTCCAATTCAGTGTAACGGTTGATAGATTGATAGATGGTCATGGGTCATAGGATTTATGATCAACCGATTTTCCCACTATTTTGTCTCTTTTTTGCTTTAACTTAAAGTACATTAACCAGTGATTTTCTATAGTATCATAGATGGACATAGAAAATTTTTGAAAATCACTGACACCAGCAGGATCTTTATCTATGGTCTGTCCACAGATTATCAAACTATTCTGTCAAAGCGCTTGAAAGGAAACAGTGGCCATCTTAGACAAGGCCAGCGAGATTCTTATATGTGAGGCAAAGAACTGGAGGAAAGAAGGACTTTTTCTGGATTCTGGTCAACAACAACAACATGTATTTCCACTCAAAAATTATGTTTGCGACAAAATGAACGAACAATTGACATAATAAGTTGTTGTTTAGATCCACTGCAGTAAAGTTTTTGGAAAATTAGTATAAGAGATCCGTCCATTATTTTCCTTCTCTTCCTATATTGTCATACGAAAACTCCACCCAAACAAACCCAACACTGTAATCACCACCTAACCCCACTTTTTGCCTGGCTTTGGCAAAGTCAACCTGCAAAATATTGTTGACTTAAAACCAACTATTTTAAACAATCTTCAGGATGTTAAAGGCTACAGCCGACTTGTTTTTGAAACATAGTACGCACCGAGCAATTCCCACTCGATATCTAACGGCAGCTGCGGAGCTACAGCAGGATGAAAGGCTGCAGAGCTTCAGAACTCAAGAAGCAGATCCTTCCAAGCACAGTAAAGACCACTTGGCCCAGTTTTACACCATACCTTTGAGCGATAGAAATGTATTGTTCCAGCACGGAGGTTTACCCAAAACTTTTCAGCAGCATATCAAGACGTTTAACGAAACCTGCTTAATGGTGAGAGAACCAGCAGTGGATATTATCAACTGTTTGAAATCAATTGATTATGACAAACCGGCAGTTCGGTTTGTGCTTTACGGGAAAAATGGAACCGGAAAATCAATATCCTTGGCACATGTATTACATTATGCATTTAAGAATAAGTTCTTAATTGTGCACGTTCCGTGGGTGGGCGACTTTATGCGCCATTGCAAAGACAGTAGCAATTCAGAGACGAGAGAAGGATTTATTGATTTGAATATTAATGCTGCAGCATGGTTGCTTCATTTCAGAACGCAAAATGCTGAATTACTTAAGAATCCGGACTTAAAAATCTCAAGAGACATTCAATGGACCAAACGTGAATCTACCGCAAAAGACTCGAGTATCTTGGAGCTTATCGAGCATGGAATTAATAGGATGCGATTTGCTTCAGATTGCGTGAATATTCTTGCTGAAGAAATAAAACTATTATCAAATGCTGGAATATGCAAAACTTTAGTAGCAATTGATGGTTTTAATGAGTTTTTCTACCCAACAACGAAAGTATACACTGAGAAAAAGGAAATAGTACACCCCAACAAAATTACATTGACTGAAGGATTTTTGAACTTAACGAAATTTGACTGGAAAAATGCTGCAGTTATAGTCACTGTTGATGAAATGACCGTCAAAGTTCATGAAGAAGGCACAGATCCGAGTATGTCGCACTTTCCTAGGTAATGACGTGTGATCAACATTAATTTTTTCCATTGGAAACTTGAGAAATCGTAATTTACCCAAAGTAACTTTTTGAATTATTTGTAGGTTCCTGTTAGGAAAGCATGGATTTGAACACCTAGATCCATTCCTGCCAGTGAATGTACCACTTTTTTCCAAAAAAGAGCATGAGAGTATTATGGATTATTTCCGGGAGAGGAGGTGGGTTCGGCCTTATCCAGGTCAAGATGAAGAACTCTATTTCTTATCGGGGGGTAATCCATTTACTCTATTGGACTACTGCAAATCTTTGTAAATGGGAATTGGCTGCTTATTAAATATGTTTTGTTAAAATTTTATTTTTATACTGAAACTCCCTCATTTTCTAGTTCATCTAGACTATAGTAACTAATCCAATATACGTTCTATTAATATAGTTACCAATTGAATTATCTAGGGATTGGAAATTTGTTCGAATTCAAGTAAAATATTTCTTAATTTTAAAGTTATTTATCTTGTTTCAAAAACTTTTAACGTCTGATTGTCTGGGTTAAGGCCTTTAAATTGAGCTAACACTAATAATGATTAAGCTGGAAAAAACCAACGGTTTCAAGATTTGCAACAGCTTAATTATCAGCAGTTGGTTAACGGGCATTTACTAATTATCCTGTGATAGGTAGTACGGAAATGCTGTTAATAGTCGCATAAAATGCAGGACCCCTATTTGCAACTGTTCACTTTCTTTTTAAGACTTATTAAACTATCTACCTCCAGAACTATTTTCACATTGACTAATATAACATCCCACATTTGCCATTGATTGATAGTTTTGTGTAGACAACGTATCAAATTAATTTCTTTTCGTGCAGTTAAGTATTCCCATTACGAGTTGAAAAATTGGCGGTATGTTCTTGTTAAATATATATCGCGTGACCGAGTTCATATACAAATAGAGATTCCTTAGTTGGAGCTATTTGTTGCTTAATATTTAATAGTATCAATTCAGTTGATCATTATGCCCTTGAGAAGATTAAAAAAATTCTGACATGCAAAGGGCATTACAGGCAATCAGTGATTTGCATCAATACGCTTTGTGATTTATGTATGTATTTTATAATTTTCAGCGTGCAATAAAATTTCGATAAAATCCGTACTCAAATAGTCATAAAGTTTCACTAAACGCAATTCAACTAATGCCTCCATTCTTTGATTTTTAACACGATGAAAGATCTCACTATGAGCTTCAGTATGCCAATTGAGGAACTAGGTAGAAGGAAGTATTGAAGTATGGGAGGTTTTCTTGTTTGTTTTTTATATTTTAGTAATGCCTACTTTCTGCAGATTATAAATGTGCTTAATTAAGACTTAGTGTTTAAATTTCTATAAATGAGCTTCAAGGATGTTAAAATAACTTTTATATAAGTCCCATACAATATTAGTTAATGCTTTTGGTCTACTCCATTCAGATCGCCCCATATAATTACGCAGTCTAAACATCCTGGAGCCATAAGCTAAAAATGCCCAGCCAGTTTCAATTATGCTCCATTATGAGCCCTTCTAAAATATACCTTTGGTAATCAAGCAATTGTGCTTAATTTAAGGCAGGCAATAGAATTTACAGCCGCAAAACAAAGGGGAGATCAAAATTGGTGTAGAAAACCCGAAATTAGGCTGGACGAATTTCAGCTCATTCAATTGGCTGTAAATTAAAGATGAGATGTTGATGAAGGATTCAAAAATTAACACACAGAAGACTGAACATGTATTTTTGGTCGTTGACGTTGAGATCTATTAGGCATTAGAATGGTGTTTTAGTTTTTTTGTGGTCCATTGGCTAGGATTCGGATTGTGGGGAAAATGAAATAATAAAGACGCTTTTAGTTGATATATTTTTTTGAAAAAACACCTTATAGCTTAAATTGAGAAAAATATATATTTATTTGCGGATTTAGCCCGGTCTAAAGCGTAATTTCCTGCAGATAGGCCTGCGCAGCGTTCTCCTGCTCGAAATATAAAACATTAAAGAAAGGTCGTGTGCCACAGTATTTTGATGCGGTTGATATTCTATGAGGACAGTGTGTCTACATCTATACGAATTCGCTCAGCATTCACCTGATTACAAAGGTAAGTAAATATATCGTTGTTTGCATTTCTTTGTTGCGCTTTTGTGTGGTAAATTCGGGTCGGTTTTCCAATTTTCTATGATGTTTTCCGATCGTAATCAATGACCTACATTTTTGGAAGCACAAAGCGAGTGCTGAAATAGAGGTAACTTTTGAAACATTCGGTAGGAACTCTATTTCAAAATTTACCGAATTAAGCGTTGATGTTGCTGATGTTCCACCAGGGTTGGACAATTCATTTGGATTTTTATTAAACTTGTTGGAATCAGCTTCAAATTGGTCTGCCAAATATCTCGAGGGGCTTCACTCGATTTCATTAAGGCATTTCTTTCATAGTGATGATTGTTGGAATTTTATAAATTATATCTATTTATCAGAAAATCTGGAATGCTTACATGCAAGTTTTGATATGATGGGAAGGCATAAATCCCAACAAATTGCGCGTTTTACGAAATATTTAAAAATAATTCCGATAAGGCTACTTTATCTGCAAACATTTTCCTAATGTTGAAATTCTTGTTTATGAAGATTTTGAGTAATTCGCTTACTAATTGTCATTAGTATTCATGTAAGCTGAATATAGATTATGTCCACGATTATTTCTGTTATTATTATAGTTTATCAAAAAAGCTTGTTTTTGTTTTCACTACCTATGAGGAAATCACTAGGAAAGTTTCATGGTTTCTTCAGCTGATGGGATTAGGTGTTAATCCCATCAAATATTTTGAAATACCTATACATTATCCAATGATTGGAGTCAGATTTTTCATGATGGAACAGCATCTATTAAATATGCTCTGTTTATACCTAGAATGAAAACAATAAGAGTTGAGAAATTCAATTAGTAGTAGATATAATTAGAATTTATAATCCATCACAACCTTGCACTGCAATTATGCCGACTTGTGCCATAAGTTATCGTCTAAATTAATTAATTTTGTCTGCGATAATGTGGTTCTTATAATTATCTGCAATTATCAGTTTCAATATATCGTAAACCGCATTATTGCTGGGTCTTACTAGAACAAGCTGGTTCACTCAATAATTACTTAGATTGCGACGAGTTAAATGTCCTCTTTTGTACTGATTTTTCGGGATGTGTTCTTATAATCTATCAAATTTCAGTTGGATTTTCTAAGATTTTCTCTAATAAAATGTAACATGATTATATCTACCTATTGAAAATTGTCATTGTCCGTCTCCCAATTTTCGAGGTTGATTTTCGGTAATCATCCATAAAGTTGAAATTAACATTTCAGCTTTCAAATAAAGCTACGATAAATAATGGATTAAGTCGGATTTGTGAAATTATTCGAATTGCTTGAACATTTGATCAGAGGTTGCTCAAAATATCCATTTTATCTTTTACAGTTTGCATCTCTTCTTCCAAAAATGCGTATTTCTAGTTAATTATCATTCTAAATTTGATCTTGATAGTTAATTAGGTTTGTTCGGATGGAGAGTATGGTGACGAATATGTGCACATTTTCATCAGATTTAAAACAGTAAGCTAAACGCTGTCTTAAAAAAGTATCGTGGTGAATTTTATTCGATTTTTATTGGGCTGGTATTAATTTAGTTTATTTCAAGCTTTTGCAATGTGAAATGTGAAACACTCCAAATAGACGGGGCAAATTGAAATGACGGTTATTGCACCATTAAAAAAACACGTATAGTAAAAACACAATTAGGCGTCCAATGGGAAACAGTTGATTAAACGCTTTAATTTTACTCTATTTAAGCGCAATTGAGTTAAATAACACATGCTTGGTTTCATTTTTTTGTGCGTTTTTCTATGTGCGCAATTTTATCTAATCACAAGCTTAATGGGAATTTGGGAAATAATATCTGGCACTTGTTGCCTGATGTTTAATGTTCCTGTTACCTAATAAGCTAATTTAAAAACAGAAAAAGAGAAAAGTGATGATGTTTTGTAGATATTTTTGAAGACAAATTGTTTCGACTTTTTAGAGATTAATTAGGTATAACGCGTATTTATTATACACACTACTCTGTATACCTACGTACAAATTTTGTTTCTATAGGTACCCATACGCATTTTAGAGCTGGCATAATTTTTAGCTTTTGTGTGGGTGCAATTAATTATTTTGAAATATATTTTATATGCCACCTTTTGCAAAATGCAAAAATGTCCCTTAAAAATTATTACAAAGTCATGCTCTCACCGTGTTGAAGAGACCATGAGATAATTAAGTCCCCAAGTGTTATATAAAATAGTAGGAAAGAGGTCAGCGTCGCATTGATACTTGGAAGAGCAAATAGGATCATAATCAAAGTGCAGAACCTTGTGTATCTCGGGGAAACAACCAATAAATCACTACTATCGATAAAGTTAGAATTGTTTTTCTTGAACATTGTTAAAATAAAATAAAGCAACCGCAAAAGGCGATTGTTTTAAGGCGATAATTCCACTCGACCCCATTTATTTGTCTAAATGTTTGATTTCTTTCTTAATATTGTTCAGCATCATTATCAGAATTTACCATAAATACTTCAAAAACTTGCTATGATAAGTATAATAAATTATCCTGCAACTTTTTAAACGATATCAAACAAGCGACAAAGTTGTGTTTTTTACAATTCATAAAAGATTATTTATCAGTTATCAGATTTATTGATTAATAACAGCAAATTAATGTGATTTATTTTTGTGGCTTTTCAATGCTAAAAAGTAGCATTTCGTTCAATGTTTAAGTCAGGATGCGTACTTTATAATGTTTATATAGTAGACTTATCAGTGAAATGCGCGTTTCAATGAGATTGATGACAATCTGTGCTTAAATAGCTCGGACGGTTTTGAAGTAAAATTTGCCAATAGCAAAAATTCATCTTTTGACACAGTGAACTATTTAAAAGGTGAAAATTTGAACAGTGACTATTTATTGCTAGAAACCACGCGTTAAACCTGCTTTCTAGCAAGAACAGGTTTTGGTTCTTCCAAGTTTTTGCTTGTTAAAACCAACATATTTTTATCTCCTTGCTCACCACACACATGCATTCGTAGTTAAAAGCTGCAGCAATTTGGCATTCACCTTGCTCGTGAACTATAATTTATTTCATTGTAAACCGATGTATTACGTTATCTGTTCGAGCCACAGTATGATTGAAAAGATTTTGGCATCCTCGTTTTTTTGAATGGAAAATTTCTGGCTGGGAACTAACCGACAGGACAGGGTCAATGCCAATGTACGTTAAAGTTGTTTCTAGGAAGACAGATATATCCGATATTTTGCCAACGGCGTCATTCATAATTATTCTTGATTAACATCACATCAAACGAGATTGTAACAGGTATAAAAGTTTAATCATTAGAGCTTTGGCCGTAAAAAACATTGTTTCTTATAAATTCGTAAAAATTCAATTTTTATTTCATATACCTATAGATACCATTTCGTCTGGAAACATGCTATCCATTTTAACGACAATTAGATGCAATCTAAATGTTTAGACACATATTTGGAGAGCAAACACAAGTAAACTCTGAGCTGATTAGACCATTTCGCAAATTATTACTTTTACGATTCTAAATGAATTTGTTTGCGGAATCACTTGTATTTGCAACTCGACTATCAGGAACGTAGTAATTGATATTTCATTAAATTGATTGATGATTGGTTCATCTGAAGTACATATTTTAGCAAACATTTAGTAAATTGTTTTAAATCCACTTCTCTTTGAAATAATATATTTCGTTTAAAAAACGATATATTGTGAAGATTTGCAAGTACCTACCTAATGAAATTTCCAAAAATACTTTGAGAAACTTTGATGGCGGTTTACAAATTTGAATATAGGTAACGTGCGTATCATCATAAGTTTTGGCGGTCATTAAACGGACTTGGAAACAATATTTCCGTTATCGCCTTTTCACAAACATGTATAAATGGTAAGGAGATGTATTGTATTTTTCCTGAAATGATCCAAAGTGTTATTGATTTCATTCGTACAGACTAATACAGCTACATGTCAGAACAGAAACAAATAATGTTCAATCAGCTAAGTGAGCAAAGCCAATAATGTAGCTGAAGGTAACTTTGGTCTAATTAAATAGTATTTACAACTGTTCAATATACTGTGGCTTAATCATGTTCACAACATGTTTGCTTAATTAAGCCGGGTATCGGGTGGTTTGAAATTAGTCTAGCAACTTTCGACAACTTTGCAGGTCTTACATCAATAGGCACTCTATATTGATTAGCTTTTAAAAACTGGCTTGTAAGTTTCGATGGTCATCAATAATTTTTTTTAATAAAAATTGAAAAATTATTTTTGTATTTTTTAGTGAAATATGGTCGGAATGTTCCCACTCATCGAATCTTATGTAATGTATTGCCCAGTATAAGCCCACATTTTTTCAAATTTCAAACCAAGTTTCGTTTAGATAATGTATTTTTTATAAGAATCTACGAGAGCAATTTTTTATGAATCATTTTGTTGCGAATAAGGCTTGCTTACATATTTTTATCAAGTTGTGAAATATGAATGTTTAAATAAACCGCTTTTACTTCATGTTGCGACATCGTTGGAAGTGCACAAGAATCGTCTTGTACTGAACGAACTAACGAAGAGTAACCAATCCTGATAATTTTATTAGTTGAGTCCATTTGATTTAAGACGGGTCCTCTGTGAATAGCACTTTAGATTTTAAAAAGTTAAGAAAACTTGTTTAAATTCGCGCCCAATAATACTAAAAACATCTGGTAATGTACGACTTTTCGTGTTTGGTACAAAAATTGAATTAACATTTTTTTTGTGTGGTATCTCTAGTATTCTCTATAAGAGAGTGCAAATTGAGCAAGAACGCTCATTTTTACATCATTCCAGAGAGAACTAAATGGCTTTTTCAGAAACTGTACCATCGATAAGGAACTGTTGGCAGTTTTCTCAAAAAAGTTTTAATTTCAAGAAGTTTTAGATTTTCGAGTTTTTGTCTTTGAGTTGCATAATCTGCTCAAACATGACGCTGCTTTTTTCGAAGTTTCTCAAGATCCATTTGAGCCACAGAATTAGTTTTGACATCGTTGGATAGAGAATTGAAAACTTGATTCAGTCATAACAACATGAGTGAGGAAATTCGAGTAGTTTTGAAGCCACCCAAAAAGCGAAATTTGAATATCATACATTGAGCATTGAATATCATACATTGAAGTCCCGCTTCAATGGATCTGGCTCTGTAAGAATACAGTTAAAAACTGAGACAAGAGAGAGTCTCTCTTTTGTGTCTGGTTAAAAAATTGAAAGATCATTTCAAGCTTTACGTGAGCGCGCCTTGAATCTCTTATTTTAACGGCCGACAATCTATTTTTTCTTCTGGTGTAGGTAAAGTGGAGCTACGTGTAGTACTGCAAAAATTGGACCAATAATACTAGAGAATAGCTAGTACGAGAATTAAGGTAGTAACAGGGGTAGAAAAATATTGAAATCAGCCTTAACAAACATGGAAGCGCTTAGCTACATTTTACGTTAGTCTGGCATACATTATCCCACATTAATATACCAGCATTAAGTGTTCCAACTGTCCAATCAACTTTTCCACGACACTAAAAAACGTGTCTCGTGTTTGGATAAAAAAAAATTGGATACGACAGATTTGTAAATAATATATTTTTTACAGCGTTATGTAAAATAATTTCACTACCACTCCCCAACGTGTTATTTAATTTTTACTTTCTCTATTAAAGCCAATTATGTCGAGTTGTCCGACCAGTTTATGGGTCAACAGTAATCAAATTCAATTAAACTGATACGAAACATGTAAGCAGGCAGTTTGATAGTTTGATTATACGATTTGTTATAGCAAAAATAAAGTACTTTAAAACATAAGGAACTTCTATTGTATAAAACGAGATTTACGATCGAGATAAGACATCTGCAAAGAAGAAAAAGCAACTGAGCAATGAAAATGCCAGTTTAGGATATTAAAAGGATTATAAGTGGCGTTTTTATATTATTTTCCATTGTTTCTTAGCAATAGCAGCTTTCGCAGCTTTGAGGCGAATTCATGTTTTCAAAACATGTTTCTTGGGTATTTCGCGTCAAAATTGTTGTCAGCAATTCCTCACGTCTTTTATTACAGATTGAAAACAGCGCCCTTATTTCAACAAAGATGTAAATGAGAAACTGCACATATAAAATCAACTTATTTTCAATACAATGATATTTTTTATTAAGAAAATTTTGAAATCGCCATCGGATCGCCTTTTTCACTTTTTTCAGTAATATATTTATGGAAAATTTGGAAAGAAATTTCACAAATAATTACGTATTTAAACCAATTATTTGGTGGCTCTATATTGATGATGTATTTTCAATTTATAATCATGAGGAACAAAAAATTGATGCTCAATAATTTTAGCAAAGGAACCTTCAACAAAAAATGGTAAAATTAAAGAAATTTGTTTTACTAAATCCAGATGATTTTGTGGCCGCTTCATTTAATTTAATTTTGTATTAACAGTTTCATTTTTCACTATTTATTACATACATATTTGTTAAATAGAAAAATTTATAATTTTTCAAATCGTTCACTAAACTGGTTACTTTGGTTACTAAATTATTAATTTAGTCGAATGTACAGGAGTTACGTATCAATATTAGTAGTTCAGCAGAGATAAAAGGCACATTTTACAGTTACATATTACAGATACTTAATGTATTTCTTTCACGAATTATTCAGTTTAAGAACAATTAAGACGATATTGAATGACACTGCAAGAACTTCAATACGACAAGTTCACAAAAGCAATTAAAACAGTATTTTCAGGACTGAATAAAAGTGCTGTTGGTTACTTAACAAAGATATTTTCAAACAAAACTTGAAACTGATAGTGGAAATACACGTGTAAACGTATTGTTTAGCCAATTGATTGGACAGTTCATTAAACGTTTTCTGGTTTTTTCTGGATTTATTTGAAATCAGACGCATAATACCTATGTATCTTTCAAATTATATACTTTATTTAGACTCGGCCTTGTTTGTTAAATTATAGTGTGGCGCAACATTGTTGTAGTAGATTAGTAAATATGAACTTGAATAAATATTTAAGCATTTTATTAACATAACCTGTGGGTGCCATTTGCTTCAATTAGTATGTACCAGTTTTGTAGTAGGGGCAAATCGGTTTTCATATTATCCCTATATATTGAACGGAAAATAAGAATAACTAAACAATAACAAAAACTAAACAACAATAAAGAAAATAAGAAAACAATACAAATAACACTAAATGAACCATAAGGCAAACAAACCAGACGTTCAAATCGAGTGCCATTCAATTGAAAGGCATTCAAACTTTCAAAAAGTTTGTCATTTGGGCATCATATGCACGCAAAATTTGTAAATTATGTAATTTTTTAATTTTAAATTATTTCTTTGTCACTCCCAAAGCGTTTTTAACAATTTTTACTTTCACTATTAAAGCCAGTTGTCCGCCTAGTTTATGAGTTAGTATTTAAAAAACCAGCGAAGCTGCTACCAAAGATCTGAACTGTCCTTTAAAAATTGTTTTTCAAAGCACTCAAGCGTTATTTGCAAACTAATGATTAAACTTGTTTTGCCTCAAACATCTTGGTCATAATATAAACAACTGTTTAAATTACTCATTTCAAGCGAAGCAAGAGTAGTAACGTGACACTATTGGTAAATGGTTTATCACTAAATAACAACATTTACATAAATAACTTCATAACAAAATTGCATATGTTCGATAATGAATTATTCGAAACACTAGTCAGTTAGTACTGGTTGCGGTGGCATTTAGCTACATGCTACAATATTTTTGTGTGGTTGTTTCAGATAAACTATGCCGAATTTAACTTTAGAGCATTCGCCCAATGCGGCTCTAAACAAGGAAGTGCTGCAAAGGTATCTATCCTTGCCCATTCCAGATGGAAAGGTCCAGGCCACCTACATTTGGATCGACGGGTCCGGGGAACAACTAAGAGGAAAAACCCGAACCCTTGACTTTGTTCCAAGCAAACCAGAAGGTAACATTTTTGTTCTAACAATGATTTCGTTTAACTTACACCAAGAGTTTATTTTTGTCAATTCATAGCCAATATATTGAAATCTATTATGGAATCTGAAAATATTCATTAATTCGTAAATTTATCTCCTTCATGTTCCACATGTTTTAAAAGTTTGCTAAATATCTCATTGAAATGGTTTTAAATGATGCAACCGAAGCATTAACCTTTTCATATTTGGGTCGAAGCACGATTTAATCATTTATTACAAAAAAAAAAATTTTGAATTTAAAAAAAAATTTCAGTTTTAATGAAAATGTACACGTTAATACTATATTGATGAGCTGTGTTTTGGTTCAAATCTAATGGTTTTAGAAAACACTGAAAACGCATGACGGATGATGGCAACTTTACAGTAGTTCTAAATTGGTAGCTAGACATAGTTAAAAGTCCTTCAAAACCCGAGAAACTGAAATGAATAAATACAAAAATACCTTGAATGAAGCAGCATTAATAGATTTGCATCTTAAAGTACATACTTAAGCAATGCGAAAGCTTCAGTTATTTTCAAGTGAAACTGAATTTTTCCCAAAATGCTCATTGAAGATTTTACATGTTTTGAGGAAAAGAGAAATAACGCATTTATTTATAAAAAAGTGATTCTGTCTATCTAGTTCCCAATAGATTGGAAGAACTCCAACAAACCCAATTACTGAAGTTGAAAAGTTAAATAGTTATTTTCTTTATCTATTTTCCAAGAAGCTCTCAATTCACTTTTAATCTTTTTAACCTTGGGAAGTTTTATAGTTGCGATATGTAAATATTTAAAGCTTAACAGGTTCAATAAGTTAATTACCTTCTTACACCAGTGCTAATTTTTATTTATATACTTAAAAATAGTAACAATATCCACTTAAGAAAGTCGGTATTTTGAGAATGAGAATATTTTGTAGATTGTACCTACACCTAAATCCAATTGGGCCTGGGTAACACTGTGTTGAGTTGCTCTATTCAGTTGTTGCCGCTCTCTGAGTTAGAGAGTTATAACTCATCGGTTCATGAGTTATAAGTGATTTATTAAAGCTTTACTATAGCCGAGACAGGAATTTTCACATCTAAAAAAAGGCCATTAACATTTTTCCTGAGTGACATTTCACTACCTTGTTCAAACAACTAATGTAAAAAACTATAAAAGATTGAGTTTGTCAGTATTTTACAATAAAACGCTGGAAAAACGCGGCTTCTATGTTTAGAAATATTGACCTAAAAGTGAAGAAACTCCAGTTTCCAAGAGTTTTCCAATTAAATTATTATAAACTTTCGCTTTGTCAGTCCGGGGAAATATTTTTGGAAAAAAACATAGAAATAATTAATTATTGTTCATAATTCAAAGCTGCAAAAAGTTTTCCAAAAATATTTGCAACGCGGTTAAGGAGGCGAGTGTTCCAATAAAATGTATCTTATAATTTTTCACAGAAAATACCTGAAGATTGTCAGTATTTTAAGTAAAACTAAAAAATAATGCGATTTTTGCGTAGAAAGAAACTTTGTTAAAACTGGAATGACCTGAAAATTTAACGGAACTATAAAAATCTTTAGAGCAATGAGGGCAGCGAATTTTCCAAATTATTTTTTGTAAGCTTTTGTTCTGAAGTCGTTTTTTTCAAGATGATCATAATTACTTTCGGTAAAAAACTGCTGCAAATTCGAAGCTGAAATGGGTTTTCTAAAGAGGAATTTATTTTCGTTTTTGTCCCGATTTCGAGACTGAAAAAAGTTTTTTTAAAATTTTTATAAAGCTATACATTTATCTTGTAATTTTTCACGTAAAAGACCTCCAGATCGTCAATATTTTTAAGTGAAACTCTCCAAAATAGAGCGTTTTGAAATAGAAAGTAAAAGAAAAAAAAATCAGTCAAACTAAAAACCACATTTTTTTAACTAATTCTACAGTCTTCAGGGGTATGAAGGTGACGAAATTTCAAAATAATCTGTTATAAACTTTCTGGTATTCTGTTCGTTTTTTTATAAAAATTTATTTGATTTTTGTTCCAAATGCGAAGCTGGAAAGGGATTTGAAAACATTTTACAAAGCGACGAAGGATTCGAAATTTATTTCATAATTTTTCGCGGAAACTACCTTAAAATTGTCAGTATTTTTAAGTGGAATTTTAGAAAATTGAGCATTTGTAAGAAAGAGTAACTTGGCTAAAACTAGAAAATTCTGAAGAAATTTTAAAAATATTATTAATAAATGGCCCTTAAAATAAATCTAAAAACAAGTAAAAAAGCCATCAACATTTTTTTAGCAACGGAACTGAGTTACTGCGCCGGTGCGTTGAGTTGGCGCACCAAACCGTTTCAATACCACTGCGCCAATTCCTAAAAAAACCGAGCTACCCAGGCCTACATCCAATTAATCTCCGCTAATGAACTTTACATTGACCGGTTTCTTTCGCAATTGTTGTTGAGTATCTAAGTCTATTGGATATAATTTTCAGTTAGGAATCACATGATATATGCTTATAAATAGCTTCAAATAGGTATTTGTCAGCACTCAAAAACAGACTACATATTTCTTAATGATAACGGACCGGCTTAACGGCACTTAGTATTATTGGTCTATCTGATATGTTATCGTATTGTGTAGTATGTATACAGTTGAATCAATGCGGAATATATTTTTGGAAGAGTTCAACTTGGTCATTAACCAAATTACACAAGTCGGTACTTTATTCAGCTTTTAATAAAGTCGTTAAAAGGCAAGCATTTTATATAGAAATAACAATTACGTTGAGGGAGTTTTTTGAATTTTGCGAACTGCATTTCTACACATTCTAGACTCGAATTTTCTTAATTATTTAGAGCTTCCGATTTGGAACTATGATGGCAGCTCCACTTATCAAGCCGAAGGCTCTAATTCGGACACCTACCTCTATCCCGTCGCTATCTATGCGGATCCTTTCACCAGAGGTAACAACAAACTAGTTCTTTGTGACACTTACAAATACAATAAGAAACCAACGGAAACAAACAAAAGGTGAGTTGAAAACCCAAAACGTTTAGAGAAAATTTGATTCTTATTTAAAATTTAATTAAACATGAGATTTGTCGAAAATCGAAACATGATGGATCCGACAGGATTTTGTAGTGGTATTTTAACGAAGAAATTTTTTCAAGAATCAAAGAAAGTATCAGGAAAACTCAAGGGCTTGCTCTACTCTAGAAATGGAGTAAATAAATGGTTCAATTGCTGCTTTATATAATTAAAAAAAAATGAAAAGCGACTATTGGCAATGTTGCAAATGTCAATCGCATACACGGTGCTTGAATGAATATGTATTGTCATTTTTTAATTAAATATTGTGTTTTTTACATGCAACTCGGTAGTGAGCTGGTGCTTAGGTCACTAGCAAAATAGAGAAGGTTTAAATTGGACAAGATGCGTTTCTTTTTGCCGTTGACCTTTTCCTCATCATGATATTGATCTAGAAATTCCATGAGTTTCGCAGAAATTTATCATTTTGTGTTTTGTAAATTCAATTTTAGCTCCGTAATCCGTAAGGAAATGTTTTCGAGTTATAGTCGATTTGGGCTGAATCAAAATTAACGCAATTTATTTTAAGGGGTTGCCAGAGAGTTAAAAAATATGAGTTTAGTCGTCCATGCTCTGGGATATTGAATGTTTACTTTCAACTTTGTCATCAAGCAATATTTTCAAGTAGTTCATGATAAAAAAAATAATTAAAAATCGCTAGTAATTTTACGAGTTTTCGAAAATTTTCTCTTGGTTTCACGGTTCAACATCATCAACTTTTAAGATTACCGCAGAGTAACATAAGTTTTTGCCTTTAGACTCAAATTTCGGCAATTAATTGGGTTGATTGTGGGAAAGAAAAGTGTTTTGGAAGGACAGAATAAAATCATTATGCGCCAACATTATTGCAAAATTTTTGTAGTTACTTTTAAAATCATAAGTTCATTCCAATACAGATTATACAAAAGAAAATTTGTTAAAAAAATATTGTTCATTGAAGAAAAAAATACATTAATCAACCAATGAAATGGAGAGCGAAATAAACTAACAATCTTCGGAATTTTTTATCAAAACTATTCATTCTATAAAAAGCATATTCAAATGGAACAAATATGTTTATCAGCAGGACTTATTCTTTTGTTCAAATCTAAGTAGGTAAACTATTTCTTATTCCCATATTTCGGCCCTCTGAGCAGTAAAGTTACGTGACAAAAATGTTCCAATGTTGGTGTTAAAGTCGAGCAGTTCCGAAAGATTAAACGAGCAGCCAACGTGCTTAAAAGGAACTATAATTATGATAATTTGTCTATTTCATATATATAAATAATCTTTATTTCCTACAGAAAAAGGCTATCGACCCAATCGGTCTTTCTGCCCTTGTTTAGTACATATGTCTTAGCCTAGCTTATTCTAAAATTAATTTCTATTCCTAACACTCGTATAAATTAATCAGCTATAAAAAAATAAAAAATAAAAATTCTTGGCTTACAAAACAAACATATGTTAGTCCTTAGTTCAGTTGCGTTTGTAGGTGTTCTAGTAAAGTATCTGTTGGGGAGCGAAAACGGGAGTCTATTTCATTTTAAAAGATATGGAGATATTTTATCTAGTTTTTGTCGTATGTAAATCCAAGAGATTTCTTGCATTTCTGCAACACTCTGCCTATATAGTTATAAATAACGTCATTTTTTAATTTTATATTTAGCTCATATAGAAGGTTTTTCGATCATATTCTCTTTATTTACATGAAAAACATATCACAAGTTTGCGGGAGCGCACTTATTATATGGTGGTAAATCTTCTTTTCAAGCTTTATAAAATAAAGTGTTATATGCGAGCAAAACAACTTGCTTTCTCTATCCATTTGCAATTAATTACACTGTCCAAATGTACGTACTTTTACAACCTACGCAGCAAACACAACTATTCACAAATAGATTTCGAGCAATAGTGAAATACTGACCTCACCAACATCAATATGAACTGCACTTTGCAAATGAGCCTCAATGGTTTTTTTTCTCATAGACACACTTGTGTGCAAGCCATGGAGGCTGCTAAGTCATCTTATCCATGGTTTGGCATTGAGCAAGAGTACACTTTGCTGGATATGGATCTCAGGCCTCTGGGTTGGCCCAAGAATGGGTTCCCAGGTCCTCAGGGTCCCTACTATTGTGGAGTGGGCGCTAACAAAGTGTACGCCAGAGACATTGTTGAGGCTCACTACAGAGCTTGTCTGTATGCTGGAATTAATGTTTCTGGAACCAATGCTGAAGTTATGCCTGCTCAAGTAAGAAATGTTGCCTGAATGCCTGCTCCCAACTCCGCTTAGTTCTTGTGTCTGCTAACGATGACATACTCTGCGTCTATTTATTGAGGAAATGTGTTTTTTATTGCGATTGCCATGAGGTAGACTTATTAAAAGTTTACTTGCATTTATAACCTTTTGGGGTAATTACTTGCCATCCGTACGTTTTTTGCAAAATGTTCCTGAATGTCTTAACATGGAAATTATATTGTGTTTGAATAGCCGCTGAAATGACTTCCTAATCTTTTTTGTCGTGACTGTAATTAATAAACAGTTAGTTCCAAGTATATCATTTGATGGAATTCAAGTTAGCTTTCGTAAACAAACAACCTTGGACCTTGATGGCTTCGCATTTGGAATATTTTTAAACGAATCGAGGAATATTAAAAATATTTAAAAAAAAAGGGCAAACTGAAAGTAATTGTGACTATTGCATTTTTTTAAATAAGGCTATAATTTTTTATGCAAGACTGCAACACCGGTATTATTACACATTTCTAAATAAAACTGGTTTAATTAATTTCTTGTGGACGTTTTGAATCAATTTCTTGTGAACGTTTTGAATCAATTTCTTGCGAATGAAGGAAAGGGAATGTTAACTATCGTTGACAATAAAAACGGTTGCTTTCGGATATAATTGTCGGACATATTTTCTATTATGAGACACCATGCTTTCAAGATAGTAGTGGAATTTTAACAAAATCTATGAAATGCTTGCTATCTTTTGGAAATTTTGAAATTGCTGTAAGTTACTTTTTGCTTCAATAAGCAATACTTTTTTGCTTCATCAGTAATTAGTTATTATTCGGGGCATACGAATTAATGAAACGCTTGAGCTCGTTTACAACAAAGATCGAACATTTTTACCAGATCATTTTTTTATTCGGTTTTTGTAATTTTCCGTCCATAACTTTTTGATCCAATATTTGCGTTATTCCAAACACCTTCTAACCAGAATTGCGCCAGTACACTAATTTTTCATTAAATAGACGAGCGGCCAATTACCAGTTGTAAACCAGCTGCTATTTACATGGATTGCGCATGATGGATATTTTTATGTTTTTGACGATTTTGAACACTTTAGGTAAAGCAACTAAGAAATCAGCATGCAAACTTTCGCGGCATTTGTAAATTCTAAGTCCAGTAAGCTCAAAATGAACTTACTCGCGCAGCTGCCGGCTCCAATATTTTTGTCTATATTTGTAGGAAGCGAAAGGAAGTTTGTAAAAAACAATCAATATTTCAATTAAATAGCACCAGACGACGATTTTTCGTTCTTCGCAAGTCCTGGTCAAAAAGCGCACGGTTTCACTCAACTGCAGGCTGTGCAATAAAATTTATCAATTTCTAATTGCGACCAAATAAAAACGTAATATTAACATTTTTACCGTCTATAGTACATTGAATCTAAATACTCTCAACATTTCACTCATTTCGCATCAAATGCTGATTTTTTCGCACTATAAATATTGGTCTAAAAACGAACGTTTTTACGAAACTGCAGACTCTTCAATAAAACTTTCTAACTTCTAATGAAGAGCAGGTTGCCATCTGATATAATCTGTGATAATATCAGATGATACTCTAAAACTCTGTAGGTTTGATACAAATGGCGCCAGGTATTGATTTTTGCGCCCGTTGTAGTAACAGTGTGATCTTTTTTTAATTTCAAGTTTACTCAAGAAAAACAATTAAGAAACATTTTTTTTCGTTAGATAATTTTTCCCGGTCGTATTTGTGTTTAAGATAAAAACATGGATCTTTGAAATCAAATTTTATGTACACAGTGGTCTTGGATTAAAATCTAGTTGCAAAAAATTCTTATTTTGATGTCTCCTCCAACTCCTAATAGTTTGTATGTATATTTATAGAACATCCTGTATATTTCTTACTTAGAAAACACATTCAGTTATTAAACGCGTAAAAGCTTAATTATTTGAAAGAATATCGCGTTCAAATGAAGAAACGATGCACACAGAAATCATGACTTTGTAAGAATTTTCTTTATCGAGATACATATATCTAATATTATCAGAAGAAATCTTAGATTTATGGCCGGGTAGGTATTTTAAAATCAAGCTCATTGTACGATTCATTGTGGCCAATCAATCAAACTTCTTAATTCATTTTGGGTCTACTGATTTATACCATTTATAGAAGAATCGTTCATAACATTAAATGTAGTAATGTAAATAACATTATTTGTCATTATTAATACATAAATCAGTTCGAAAAGCGTTGATTTAATTGCATAAATTAAACTCACTATTTGTGCGTTTTTATGATTTGCAATTGTATCTAAATTCATGAATTATTTATCAGGTAATCACCACGAGTTTAACCAAAAGTCATCTGGCATTAAGCCAAGCTCGATGTGGAGATTGCAAAATAAAATTCTCATCTATTTAGGTGATGCAATAAACTTGCGGCGGTTTCAGCACATTCTTATGTACATACACGTTTTGATTTCAAACCCAGTTGATAAAATGCTAAAATTTTTTTTAAATGTCCCAAATCTGCGTACCATATAATTACCGTAATCAATCGGTCATAAGTGGCGCATAAAGCGGATGCCATCGACCCAGCAAAGAAGTCAAAAATCTCATTATCCGATTACATTGATCATCGTTGTTTAAACTTTTATTTACACACATCGGTAATATTGAGAACAAATGCAGTCACAATGTTTATATGTGGAATATTTTTAAATATTTACGAGCAAGTGCTTAAACATTAAACGAGAATCGAGTCTGTGTTAAGTTTGCTAATATTTTGTGGGCTTAAAATTATTCTAATCTAATAAAAACTTGGATATCGTAGATATCATCGTTGAAATTCGTAAGCGATCATGTTCGTAATGCGTGAACGTCTGTACTAACACAACTTAGATACTTGAAGTTTATTTAGATCTAGTTTATACGAGCAGATAGAGCAGATGAGGCTCAATGCTAGTAGAAAGTTTGTTTTGCAAATTAGGGTTTCAAGAAAATTACGCCGTTGAGCAGTGATCGTAAACATTTCCCTTCAAAAGACTTTCGCATTTAGTTCGCACCCTCATTATCGTAAAATGTAACATGAAGCTTTTTGCAATAACTGACTGCTACATAAATTTATCTCAGATTCTAGCGCTCCTTTTAATCAAGAGTTATGTTTTTTGCTCTTAGAATGGATAACTCTCAGGCAATTTACTTCCAGTCGGATTATTCCTTAGAGACGTTCGTAAACAGAAATAATTATCTGATACTTAAATAAAGGAAATGTGCTTGCACAGCCTTTACGTGGGAGATAATAGTGACAATGCGACAAACAAGATTAAGAATGGGGGATAATAATACCAGCTACAAGCTGTAATAGTTATAATGGCGTCTGGATTTTGCTATACATTTTCTAAATCAGCTAATATTAGTGGGAGCAGGTATTTATATCCATAAAATATTCCATTCGCTTTATTTATAAGTCGTGTTGAGGCTTTATTTACGAAAAAACACAGACTTTATGGCACTTAAGCATTTAAATGATTAAATCATTATCTACTAATGCACTCAATAATGCTGGGATTTGCGGCAGATTTTCTACGTTTTCCTATAAATGCATTATATACGGCTAATGGGTTAATTTAATTAAAAAATTTAAATCAAGCTATTTTTACAAGTGGTTGATTAACATGAAAACTACAATAAATTAAAAAATGTTTTTCTCTGAACGTATAATTTACTGCCGGATTATTTGTTTTCTTGTCAACGAAGCAGCATTAACAAGTTTTTACAACGTAATTAAATCAATATGTTTATTGTTTTCTTTTTCATTATTGCCATTGCCATTGCGTGTTTTTTAATATAATTAAGCAAAAATTAATGTTGTTTAAAGCTGCAGTCATTTCAATTAGTATTTCTTTTTCACTGTGAAAATAACAGGAAAGTTTCAAGTTGTTTTCATTTTTTAGTGGGAATATCAAGTTGGGCCTTGCGAGGGAATCTCCATTGGCGACCAATTGTGGATGTCCAGGTACGTTCTTCATCGCGTAGCTGAAGATTTTGGGGTAATTGTAACATTCGACCCCAAACCCATGGAGGGTGATTGGAATGGAGCTGGCGCTCACACGAACTTCTCCACCAAAGCTATGAGAGAGGATGGCGGCATCTTGTAAGTACAAAAAATGTATATGTATATAACTTTATAATAGAAAATGTGATTATAGTTACAATAAGTAAAATTTGCCTACATCTTTATAACAATTTTTATAATTTCATGTGAATTTCCAACAATATGTATATTTCTGCATCACGTTGCTTATTAGTCAAGTATAATGTAGGGAAAAATCCGTTATAAAATTATGAAATATTCCACGAACCAAACAAACGAAACCTACTTATTAAAACATTCACATTAAAAAAGGCCTTGACATTGGTATGATAGAAATAAAAATTAAAACGTCGCCATCCATACAAGGTTGGTAAATGTGGTTTGGATTTCTGTTATTCTCATGGATTATTCGCAACGTAATTTACCTCTCATACAAGTTGTTATTGAAGGAACATGCTAAGGGCACATCAATCATCATATAATCAATAAATCAAGACCTGCTTGTTTGCAATATTGATTGAGTTTTTGAAAGATGATTTCCTATTTTACTAATATAATTTGTTATGAATAATAGCACATTCTTTTAACAATATTTTGAACTGTGTATGAACTGAAATATACAATTGGCAATTATTGGTTTCACTCGTTATTGGCTAACACATTTTTTGACGCTTAGAAACAACATTTTTACCAATAATGAGTTTTTAACGATTAGTTAAGTTGAAACCTTCTCTATATTCAAGTCAGTGATTTTACTAATTATACATATTTGAATGAGAATTTTATGCGGCATACCTATTTTGAGAAGAAAGGTCCAGAAACCACTGGTCAAAATTGGAAAGGCGTATAGAGGAATGAAAGCATTTTTTATATCTTTTTCTGGATTTTGTGGATTTGCTATGCATTCAACGACCTTCAATCTAAAAATGTATAGAAATCTTACTCCTGTCATCGTTAAACGGTTGATCAGCAAAATTCACTTATTTACGTCGATTTGACTTTATTCTAAATATGTTAAGTAAGTGTGCTTTTATTGCGAGGTCAAAGTTACGTTTATAGTGCAAGTGCTTTCAACGCATTTGCACTTTTATTCATTCTTTTCGGCTTACGTAACACTGTTGCAAAAAGTACGGGATATTTTATTGTATTTTTTCGGGTGGCCGATAAAAATAAATTTTCACGGGCTAAAAAAATAGATGGAAAAAATTTAAATTGTACGTAGGCTACAATATACAATACACAATTAGAGATATATTTTTAGTTAAGAAAATATCTACTTCAATAATCATTTGCAACTCGATCATCATTATCACGCGACTGTTTATAAATTATTATATTTTTTCTTTCTTGGGTTTCAGCCAAAATGTGAAATAAAAATGTTCGTGTCGTTTATTTCACATTTTAACTTTACTTACAGTTAGGAAAATAAATCAAACTGTTTATAAAGTATGATGGAACTTCTATTAAAAATGTATTTTAATAATTTCATAATTAAATCAGTAGGAACAACAATTAGATAAAAAGTCTAAAATATATCATCCTGTATGTTCTATCACTACCGACTAACTAAGGGACACCATAAATGATGTGCGCTTAATGTGTTAAGAAACCAAAGACTGTTCAAAACAACTTATTACCATTTTGTAACTAACTATCATAATTTCCCATACGTTTTACAATTGAGTAATAATATTCAAGCAAAACATTTCTCTAGGGAAATTGAAAAAGCTATTGACAAGCTTAGCCGAAACCATCTCAGACACATTCAGGCCTACGATCCTCACGGAGGAAAAGACAACGAAAGACGTCTTACTGGAAGGCACGAAACTTCCTCGATTCACGATTTTAGCGCAGGTTAGACAAACGTCCATTTAATAAAATTGAGACCGTATTTCTAAATGTGGTAAACATTTTTTTACAGGTGTTGCTAATCGTGGGGCCAGTATTCGAATCCCTCGCGGCTGTGCCGAAGATAAGAAAGGATATCTGGAGGATCGCAGACCGTCCTCAAACTGTGATCCTTATTCCGTTACGGAAGCTATTGTTAGAACTTGCATTTTGGATGAATAAATTCGTTACTCTTAAAAACTTTACAGCCACATTTTATCGTTTTTTTTTACTTTGCTGCTTACTGTTAATTGAACGCCTTACACGTCATATTATTCTTTAACTCCCTGTTGGTGAACTGGAAACATTCAAGCAATTAAAACAGACGCAACTTATAACTGATTTTTTTCTTTTAGAACATCGCGAAAAATGTGGCTTTAAAGTGTGGTCACAAACTGACCATTTTCCATTTACAATTGCATATACTCGTTGAAACTGAATTTTAAATATTTAGACCTATCTTCCTACTTTTTATTACATCTCCAACAACATGTTGGTTGAAGGAGAAACTAATATCTATGTAAATGATATGACTATGATATCGATGAAGTACAATATGTTGATGTGTTAACTATTCTCTTCTTTGTATAAATGTAACACTATAAACATATATATTTAGCTAAAACCAGTTTACATTTAGGTTTTAAAATACATAATGATATATTTTCGCACATTTTTCCTTTGTAACAAAGTTTATTAGTAAGAGATTATATAACTTGTAAGCAAAGTGTGTATTTTATTTCCTCCTCTCATCATCAAATATTTATAATGAAATAAAAAAATTAGGTTCGGTAACTTAAAAATGGTAAGTGCTAATTACGAGCTTTTTGCTGTTACACCACAAAGTTGCAGGCTAAATTCTAAGACAAATTGTAAATATAGTAGAAATGTGGCATTTTCATTATTAGTATTTGTATATGTTGCAAATTTTTGTTCAATTTCTTTGTGGTTTTACCCTCTGCATAATTGGATTAAACCCAACGATAAAGTAAACTGGTGATTTTTATCTTAGAGAAATTGAATATAAGATAAAGAAAGCACTCAAATACAATAGTAATATATAAACAGTTTTAAAAAATGTGATGCAAGATCATCGTATTTCGGATTTAAAAAAATATATATTTTTCTTCACAAAAGAAAATTCAATTCCTTTCCTTTCTTATTTTCCTGTTGGAATCGCAAATATTGGAAAAAAGGCAAAAAAGTTTGCATTTTTTAGGATTCGATAAATAACTTTGTTATAAATTGATGTCTGTATGGAAATTTGAATTTGATTACTTATTTTCATTTGATTGATAATAAAAAAAATTGTTAAAATTACTGATGCGTACTCTTATTAGGACTTTTTCATTTTGGTTGAAGAATGACAATTACTGTGGTCGGAACACAACTATAACATAGCAAGAGTATTCAAGGCAATACTTTGAAGATCCAAAATGCTAAAAAATTCTAACTTGTTAGTTATGCAAACGAGTTTTCAAATGATCGAAATAGAAAGTTCGTGTGTGGCTTTATTACTTTTTCAAAAGCACCAACTATTGAATAACGTAATAAAAAGTTTGTCGTATTTAACATAGTTAGATTTAGGTAACTGAATAAAAAACGACACACATGGTAAATTTTAATATATCATCCGTCCATCCACAATCATCACATGTTGACACTTATTTATTGAATTCCATAGTCACCTTACAAAATGTAACAACTTTTTGAAATTTTTAAATAAAATAAATTATAATTTGAAAACGGGTGATTTCACAGCTTAAAGTGTAAATGCAAATTTGTAACTTTGTAAATTGTCTATCTAATGACGTATTAATATACAGGTACTTCCATTTGAAAAACACAAGTTATATTGCGTTAAAAAGATTTAAGTCCACATTGTTAACACCCTGTACAATATTGTACATTGTATTAATATTTTGGTTCAATAGGATTCTTAACGGATCTGTGGTGATTGGAAAGACGTATTTTTTGTATCTTTAACTGCTTTTTTTGCTTCTAAAATGAATTTTTAGATACCATGTTTTTAAGCAAAATTTTATTAAATTGGCGATAATCTGCCAAGGTCGCAAGTAAGAAAAAACAGTTTACGGTGCATATGCAGCGTTTCAAGCTGCATTCCATGAGCTAATGAAAAATGGGTAGTTGCATGTAAAAAAATACACTTTGACCTTGCCTCACTTTTCTGAGACACTCTGTATCATACAAAATATTTTTAAAATGTGCACACTTTGTGCGTCAACAACTTTTATATGAAACTATTTTTCGAAAGTTCAACACCAACGGAAATAATGAACACTCTCGCACTAAAAAACCACCCGGTATAGCAAAACAGGTGGAATTCCAGTTTTTCACTGTCCAGGTTTTGTCAACTAACGTTTGATGCTTAATTCAAATAATTCGTCAAATTGACAAACCGGGTGTTGCACTAAGATATTAGGCATTCAAATTGCCTTTAAACAGTTTTAAAATAGAAGATGAATTTCCTAACAAAAATTGTTTTGAAAAATAATCGCTTTTCTAAACAATTTAGCTTGCGATGGATTCGAGAGCTCAGGTTATTAATTTATAAGTAACTAGCGGAGTCTTCTTAATTGTTTTTTTGCACTAGCTCTGAAAATACTGTATTTGAAAAGCAAACTGATTATAATTCATTGCAATTGCCAAAGAACAAATGTATGGCCACATATATTTGGATTGATGGAACTGGTGAAAACGTAAGATCGAAGACCAGAACAATGGATTCAATACCAACTAATCCAAAAGGTAAATCATGGCTCGATTCCCTAAGCATGGCATTGAATAAAGTATAAACATTATCTTAGAACTGCCAATATGGAGCTATGATGGCAGCTCAACCTATCAATCTCTGGGTTCCAACTCAGATACGTACCTCCTTCCGGTTGCGGTATATAACGATCCGTTTACAAAAGGAGATCATAAACTAGTAATGTGCGACACCTATAAATACGACAAAACTCCCACGGATTCCAATAAAAGGTAGGGCCTATAAAAGGCAGTTTGGAAATAAATAGGAACCTCCCTCTATTCAGATTTTGCTGCATGAAAGCATTAGCGCAGGTAAAAGATGTGGTGCCATGGTTTGGAATCGAGCAAGAGTACGCGTTGATGGATTTGGACAATCGGCCTTTCGGGTGGCCTAAGCAAGGGTTTCCTGCACCTCAGGGGCCGTTTTATTGTGCTGTTGGAGCAAATAAAGTGATCGGAAGAGCCATAGTGGAGGCCCATTATAGAGCCTGTTTGTATGCGGGACTTACAATTTCCGGAACCAATGCAGAAGTATTACTTTCTCAAGTAAACTATGCTATTAAACAGATTTGGACTTGTCTATGAATAATTGATTGACAATTTGAAGTGGGAGTACCAAATTGGCCCATGTGAAGGAGTTGGCGCTGCAGACGAACTGTGGATGTCCAGATATATCTTACATAGAGTAGCAGAAGATTTTGGTGTAGTGGTATCTCTGGATCCAAAACCGGTGGAAGGAAACTGGAACGGCTCAGGAGCTCACGTGAACTTCTCCACAAAAGCTATGAGGGAAGATGGTGGAATTAAGTATGCTCTCATGCTAAAAAACTCAATATACTGAATTTGCTTGAAATATTTCTTAGAGAAATTGAAAAAGCCATCGAAAAACTGAGCAAGCACCATATGAGACACATTGAGGCCTACGATCCGAAAGGAGGCAAAGACAATGAAAGAAGGCTGACTGGGAGGCACGAAACTTCAGACATTTACACCTTTTCAGCGGGTTGGGCTTCTTATCTGAGTGAAAATCAGTAATAAAATGTAATTTTATTTGATAAGGCGTGGCTAATCGAGGAGCAAGCGTGAGAATCCCAAGAGGTGTAGCTGAAGACGGAAAAGGTTATTTAGAAGATAGAAGGCCATCTTCAAATTGCGACCCATATTCAGTGCTCGATGTTATGGTACGAACCTGCCTTTTGTGCGAATAGTTAGACTGAAAAATATTTTTTATGACATTTGAATTTATGAAATTATGTAACAATTAATATGGATGTTACTGCTTATTAAACACTCATTAGCAAGATATGCTTCTGAAACTAGTTTAGTAGTTTTTTACTATTGCAACTAATAAACTTAATTTAAAATAGATTCATCGATTTTTGTTCACATCATTGATCGGAATTATTGTTAATGATTGTGAATTGCTAACTTTTATTGTTAAGTGATATGTTGTGGTTTAATTAATGAATTTTATATAAAAATGAGAAAACTCATTTGTTAGTGCCCGAAATTATTTTTGAATTGCATTATTATTTGAATATTTAAATGTGTCTTTGTAATTTTCTATTATAATTTTTCCTAATTGCTTGTCTGTTAAAATACATACAACAATGCCATACATAATCAATGCCATTAAAAATATAATAAATTAAAACTTGTAATATCTAGTTAACTGTAACACTGTGTTGAATTGCGCTTTTGAGTTGATACTGCTCTGTGAGTTGCTCCTTACTGCGGCGCACCTTGATTTGCGCTTGTGGCGGAATATATCTTGAAATTATACGTTTCAGAGGGCATTTTTAATTAGTAGAAATTTTGTTGGTTTTTATCATCGCTCGAAAATTGAGCAACAGTTTCATTTCATTCAGCAAAAAAAAATCCAAATTGGGGGGTTATTCATTTTAGTTTTGGCGTTGTGCACGAATTATTGGAGCTGAGTAAAATTCAACACAGAGACACACGAGACAAACACAAATGGTACTAAATTTAAAACTAAAAAAAAGAAATTTTTTCGTATAGTTGTTTTTGACTCATTAAGTTGGAACGTGAAATTTGAGTTTGGAACTCTTGCCGCGCGAACAGGGATTTTCTACAAAAATGTCAACAATAAACAAACTGAAATCGAACTGCCAAGCAAGAGCAGAGCATTGAATCATCGAAAGGGCAAACACGATTTTTTTTCTGTGAATTTTTATTCTGTGCTTCGATGGAATCTTTTTCAAAAATGTGTATGGATACTCAGTTTTCTACCGACAGTGGACGAAATTGGTCGATTATCCTATGTGTCGTGTGAATCCCGTTTTTAGATGGAAAATGTAGAATATAGTTTGCGAGAGTGTAGTGAACGTTGCGCCTGGTTCACGTGTGAATAACATACATACTTTAAGAGAAACACATTTTTGATTGAATTTTATCGAGTGTGTGTATGCACTTTCTTTATTTTTATTCTATTTCATCTTCAAGTAGAGAACTGCACCTCCACCATATTTTAATTTAAATATAATTTTCACTAAACACTTTTTCGAAAATTTGTAATTAAAACCTACATTAAAAGCCGATATAAATCTAAGTTATAGGGCATTATACGGTGGTATTATCTCAGACATTTTTATTATTTATTATTTTTTATTGTTGTCTGAGAGTGGGAAAAGTGATTTGAAATGTTCAAATTATACTCTTTTGTACGCATATAACTTTAATAGCAAACTTTAAACAAGAACACAGATAACATACTGTCTACTCTTATTTTGCTTCCTTCTCCGCTTTAATTATTTCAGTAATGCCATCGTACATTTCCTTCATACACTGAAACTCGGTTAAACCCAACCGCCTTCTATTGGACAAATCGTAAACTCCATCTGGAGAATCACTGTGCTCTCCTTGAGCCCCGCGTATTTGCAAATGATACTTATCGGCCAATTGCTTAAATTTGTCCATGTTCTTGGACAGTCTCGGAACTTTAATATGCACTGAAGCGCGGATTGTTGTTCCTAGAACCAACATAATATAATAATAATAATATATCAAGGTAAAAAATGTGTTCATGTAATACGCAAAAAGCAACAAGTATTCTTTTACATGATTTAAATATTTATTTAAAAAACGTTTTGACCTATATTATTCAGATTCTGAATAATTTGTGACGAATTTTTACATGACAAGATGTGCTCTGAAAATTCAATGATCTTCCGTCGAAGATATTTCATGTGTTTAATTTACGCTAAATCATTCGCGCTTTTTACACTTGAAAAGCTAAGAATTTTACGTCCTGAAAGTGTTGACTGTTTTCAGTTCATTTCTGACTCACTTAAATAAGTAGCTTTAATTGTAATTGCTGATTTTATTCTGCAAAATTCGGTTTCAAACAGAAAACATTGTGTAGAATAACTTCATATTTTATGCTGGAAAATCATTTGTACGGCTAGGAAGGCTTACACTGTCCGTCAAAGTACAGGTTGATAGTTTTCCAAGCTTATAAAACGTGGATCATTGGAATTACATTCTAATGTTCGTTCATATCCATTCAACAATGTCTTTCTTTACGTTAGCTAATCATTAGAGAGTCTCAATAGAAACTTTAGTACCTAATGGTTCACAGCAGAAATGGCCCAAAAAATGTTTTTCTTTGTTTGAAGCACTTCAGGATCCATTGCAAAATATATTTTTATTTGCTACCAACAACCTGCTTCTCATGCTTTCGTTTTGTATGATCTTCATGAACTTATTTTTTTCTGAATGATAACTCATTTTATTTTTGGCGTGTTTATAGTTTTTTTAAATTTTCTACCCTCAACTTTTTGCAGTTTATTACAGAACCTTGCTTATCATGATCTGGATGATAAATGATAAAGTTAAAAAAAAAGTTTAATTAAAAGTTTAACTTGTGTTTCGTTAGTATGTCGATGTTAATTCAACATGTCGCAAAACCCCCTCGTGTTCTATATATGTGATGTGTTGTGTTCTATATATGTGATGAGAAGCTTTAGACTCATTGCAGTGGCTTTTAACGATCTTTTGCAAGGAAAGAGTGATTTTGTGGGTGCATTTTGTAGTGAGAGAAGGTTTGTTTATTCTTCTATTTCAGCTTGATAAATGTATTTTAGATAATTTTGTATATGTTCCGTCTAATATAGCATTTGAGATGACCACATAGATATATCCGGATATTAATATTTGTTTCGTACGTTTAAGTGTGTCCCAATTATTTTTGCCCAAATATTAAAGAACGCTCGCTTTCTGTGTATTAATTTCGTGTTTCAATGTTAAGCAATCTTGGGCTCATTTTCGTGTTTCGGGAATAATTAACTTATAACGTATTGCGTACGAACTTGTTTCTCAATGTTACCAAATTATTCATTTGGCATAGCGCATTAAAGATCATTTTGTAAAGTGTGGAAATCGAAAATGACACTAAATTTATCAAACATATTAAGAACGCATTATGTTTTACTGTAAAATGGCCAATATCGTGCAAATCTTAAACGATGTAATGAATTTCAGCAAGTTGTGCACGTTTTGCAGTGAATTACTGTCATCTACCCATTATTGCAATTATGTACTTTTACAATTTGCAGTTTTGTTAAACGTTTAACTTCAACTACACTGCATATCATTTCTTCAAGCATCCACATAATAATTACCAACAATGACAAATCAAACAATTTGATGATTTGCTTTGTTGACTGTTGGAGAAAAAACTTCCTATATAATTTTTTCACTAATTAAATGCTTTTATTATATGTTATGACTCAAATTTGAGATGTCTCCAGCTATTTCATGGTACGATTGATTTAAAACCTACAATTTTGCTCATTGGGTGATTTAGCAGTCCTGAGAGGATTTATAAAAGCGTCCACAGTGAGAATGGACATTCAGTTTCAAGCAAATTGATTAACAAATTCAGTGCAATTATGGCGTCTGCATCAGTATCATCGGGTGTTAGCTATCAAACTTTTTCGTACTTATTGTTAGCCCTGTTAGGTGCTAATTCGACTCTAGCCGACAGTGATAAAGTCGATGTGAAAATTAATACGGATAACTTCGATGGCACGATCACTGTTCCAAAGTGGGTTCTTGCACATGCAGCTGAAGCGACTTTAGGCTATATACCAACTGGGGTATTTGATGGGGATGATGCGTTGCCATCTTCAATTAAACTAGAACCAGACTGGTTCATTATCCAAGTCGAAATGAACACCTTCGAGCAGGACCCTGATAAGATAAAAGTTAAAGTTCTGGACTCCGAGACTGTACAAGTGGAAGTTAAGCAGAAGCACACAAACAGATATGGCGTGAATACATCCAGAACCGTCACCAGAAGTTTTATGGTACCGAGAACCTATGACGTGGACGAGACCGACGCCAGGCTTACTAGTGGCGGTGTTTTAATTATTAGGGTTCCCAAAACTGATGGTACCGTTATAACTATTACAAAAATTGACCATGTAATCTATGATGAATGAGTTAAAACATGTAATGTAGAATTCTGATTTTTCTAATTAAGTGTATTTATAAATAAATGATCGGGATTACGTAGTGATTTTTTTGCAAAATCAAAGATGTTGAATTTATAATTAACCATAAGTTTATAAAAAGTGTACATAGGTAACAACAAGAATTGACTGAATTGAACATGAATTCACTTCAATTTTTCGTAGCTTAATTAACTAACAACTACATTTTGAATAACGAAACTTGTTAAAGTCCAACTACCCCTCACGATTATTAAATATGTCAATCTAAACATAATCATTCAATTATTCCTTAATTTCACTGTAAAATTTATTAATAAATAGAACTTACCCAAGTTTGTCGGACAAAAAGTTAAATACCCAAACCGGTCATTGGTTACAAAGCTGATTTTTTTCTGGATTTCATTAACCGCTGTAACCAATCTCTTATACACTTCGCCCACATTGCCGCCTTGTTGCATGCACATAATACGTAGATGGTCTTCTTCACAAATCCAGATCAGGAACGACTTATTCTGGTTGTAGAAGATACCGCGACCAGTGGGCCAATATCTGCAGGCATTTGCTGATTGAAGAAACCGATCACCTTCTTTGAACAGATAATGATCCTCGATGAGTTTCTGCTGCACATCTTTGGGCATACCTTAAATTCCGTCAATCCAAATTATTTCCAATTATTTCCCAATAGGCCGATTCATACTTGTTAACGGATTGTAAGTTCCGCTCAAATCTCCAGTCAAATCATTTAAAATTGCTTGCATTTGACTTTCGATGTCTTTGTAATTTTCTTCAGTCATGCAGGGATTGAAGGGGTACCCTTTTAAGGTGCGGCAGCACCGAACTCTAGTTGATACGACAAATTCGCCTTTTGGATCTAAGTTGCCAAAGACATTGGGCGAACCCCAGTCCGTGGATGGTTGCTTGTCTGATTTTTTTACATTGTGATATTCTTCTATGATGGGATCGAAAAGCTCCGCAAACACTTGATAGCATTCCGGATCGGCTGCGTAGATTCCAATGCCAGAATCCAAATTTTCCAAACCTGAGCAACAAGTATTCAACGATATCCAACTTTCAGCGCAATTATCCGAAGTTTTTGAAAATAAATTAATTTTCATATATCAMAAGCTTAAAAAATTGCCAAACGTGTGTGTTCAACTCAGTGGATACTTAGTAGTACTTGGGGTTTATTGTGGACGGCTAATGCCACCCAGAACGTGAAATCATGTGCAGGATAAAAAAAAGGAAAAGTTAYRTAACTTTTCTAGTTAAGGAAATTTCTCACCAACCGGGATCTAAAYTTCAAGATCAGATACCGAATGGCTAATTGTTATTTTATATGTTTGGTCGGTTTTCCTATACGGAGTSGAAGCGTGAACGCTTAAAGCAARGACCATCAATAGARTAGAAGCATTCGAGATGTGRATGCTGARACGGATGCTCAAAATATCATGGACGGACCTTACGATAAATGATGATGGCTGATCGAGAACTCTTCCAACATATTAAAAAACGAAAGATTCTGGGACCTGGGACACATTGTGGGTGGAGAGCAATATAACTTATAGCACCTAGTAGTGTTGGGAGGATAGAAGCTGGAAAGCGAGACTTTGGAAGGAGGAAATTATCTTGGCTCTAAAACATCCGCCAGAGGATGGGAATAAGCTACATTTTTCTTGAAAAAGCTGCTGTGAATAGGATAATAGGTATGTATCATAAGAAAACGGAGGACGCCTACGCAGGAAGCTGCCTTTACCTTAACCTTAAGAAGAATATCAAGTGCTAAAACTTCCATTTTTGAGATAAAATAATACATTTTTGTTGAGGAACCTACATATAAAAAATGTTAAAGACAGACGTGTTTATCTGCTCGTAATACCGATCTAAATACAATAGATCAGTGATTCTTCTCAGGGTTATATAAAATCTATTGCTGTCAATAAACTATGAACAACCTCGACAATTTACGGATGAAAGATGTAAATAAAGTAAAATTATTGCATTGCAATGATTATTATTAATTGAGCAAATTATTTCTCAAGCGGCCCTATCAATATTATCTAGTAACCGAGAAAAATTATTAGTTGCAAATCATTATTTATTTCGAACAATTTTTAAATTAATATCAAAATTCTGAAAATGTGGAAATTTGCTTGGGAGCGGACCAATATAAACTTTTTAAAAATATGTGATAAACCAACAAAATATTTATCTACATTTTTTTGCGTATGTGCTTTTTCTTATATTTTTCACCAGTTTCAGAATTAGATAAATTTTTAAGTTAATTATATTTAGACTTTCAGTTACTTTTTAAGATTGTTTTCATCGTATTTAAAAATGTGAAAGTTTTCTACGGAAACTACAGAGAAATCACGACTTTGATTTGATCGAGTTTGTAGGCCTCCTAGGTAGGATTATGAAGGTCATCTAATCAAATAAAAGATTGAAAACTACTAAAGAAAGTTTAGAATTTACATTTGCGCACTGACGCTACTAATTATTTCGCAAAGTTAATTATTTTGAAGCTTAAATGTTATGAAAAACTAATAATTGTGTGCAATAATTTACCCGACTGTATGCAATCCAGAAGAGTGGAACCAAAAGAGGTTTTTTTGGTCTTGAGTTTATCCAGCACCTCTCGAGTTAAAAATCGTTTTAACATGGACGGAGAGTCGGAGTTGGAGAGTTTGTCGAAACCTGCTTCCAATTGAGTTAAAATTTCCGGACTGGCTTTGCCTTTTCCGCATTTCTCTTCACATTTTTTACATTTTGGCTTTGGCGACGCTTTGGCCATCTTATACAAGAATTTGATGACGTATTACGTCCTAAATGTCGTAATTAAGTTTTCCAAACAATACCATAGTAACCAGATTTAACATCAATAATTACCCCTGATTAAGCTTTGGTTTCAGTTAATTCAAAATTAATAGGACCTTTAATTTAAAAACTCTTCAAATACCTATATGTATGGGTATTATATTCCAAAGTATTTAATTTTTTTAAATTCCCGTATTATTCCCGGTTGCCTATAACCAAGTAGTTTTCACCATTGAATAGAAATAGCGATTGCCTTGCTCTGTCTGCCTTTCACACTTGGTCTGCCAAAGGACAAAAGATGCGCCGTTCGTCTGCCTAAATTCGATTAATTCAAATCGGTGTTCTGACATTTAATTAAACACATCTTCTAACAAAGCTAACCTCACTAATTTGTATCTTTTTATATATTGCTCTGATTTTTATCAACTAATATAAATAATTGTAATAAAGATGATGAGACCAACTGACGAACCAGAGCGCCAAACACCTTTTCCCGGCCCAAATGCTCGCCAACCACCACCGCCGGTAAGTCCATGGGTTAATTTTTTCAATCCTGATAACTTATTTTTTATCTTGCTTTTGTTATGGTTTTAGTATAAATTTACCCCTGAAGAATTGAGAGTTCTTCGGGAGTGCAATAGGGAAAGTTTTTACAATAGGTGTCTTCCAATGAGTGCTATTTTTGGAGGACTGACTTATTATGGTATTCATACAGGTAAATTTAATCGAAATTCAGCCCGAGCCCACTATTAACCGTATGTTATGCTCCATTCTATGTAGCTGTATATCAGTTGATCTCTCTGAATCCATAATGAAGTATTTAACAGGCAGTGCAGCGGTAAAATACTTTTTTTTTCATAATCTTTTCATCTGAATGAATGTATATTGCTTGAATTTTGAAATTTAACCCATAATTTATATTACCGCGCATCTATCAAAATAATAAAACAAATAAAGCCTGTTAAATAAGTGTCTATTGGTCTATAAAATCGTTAAATAAAAACTTGATCCACAAATAAAATAGACAAGTCATAATTTTTAATTGTATTCAAAAGCAAAAACAATCTACTGGTGTCACTTTGAATTTGTATTTTTTTAATGTATCGGCTATATTATGTTTTATTGATATTCTACAGCTATTGCCTGAAAAATAAAGTACAAATTGGCGAGTCGTAAGATATTTGGCCTATTTATTGCATCTATTGCAATGCATCGTTGTTTTCTTCAAAACAGGTACATATTTTGCGATGTTCAACAAATTCATATATCATTTTTTGTTCTAAAGTATATCAGTTGAAATGGGAAATGATAGATGAAAGAAAATAATTTTTCACTGTTTTGCATTTAGTTGTCAATTGAAGATTTCCTTTAAATAGTTCTGTCGATTTTCTCGCTAAATTTGTAAAGAGTTCCACCTTACATCAATTTGTTTGAAAACGGTAGAGGATATTAGGACAAAAATATTTCTATGGCGATGAACGTCCAAGTAAACCGACTGAATGGATTGTGAGTGCAACACGTTTGCTGACCGCACCCATATACAAAAGTTAAGGTTTAATTTATTTTGCAAATAATGGTTCTGTAAAACTGATAAGGTTTTCGGGGTTTTAAGCCGTAGGGAAAGATAATTTCTTGCCCAACTTTGCCACATTTTTTCGATAGATAAAATGCAACGTAGACAAGGAACTAATAGTTTGTATAAACTCCCACTATCATGTAATTATTTAATGCATTTGAACCCAGTTTTTGGATCTAAGTTGTGCTTTGGTTTAATATGCTTCTAAATATCTATTCTATTCGATTCTTTAGTAAACTTTAATTGTTGTTAAGGTATATTCAATAGAAATAAAGCATTTGGAGCAACTCCGAAAGTTGTGGCAGCTGTTGTTGTGGGATTTTTTATCGGAAAGCTTTCCTATCAGCGAAACTGCGCCGACAAATTTGTTGCTTTACCCAACAGCAAAATCGGTAAAATGATCAAAGCTAGAAGACTTGGAGTTGCTGACGAAGAGTAAGTTTCATCGCAAAGAACGTGGTCGATGTCTCAAAGTAACTTAACGTATCTACAGGGATGATTCACAGTTCAGTTTTTCTTCTTTGAGCCCTTTTACTGGATTGACCGACAATTATAGCGACATAACTCCAGATACCAACCAAAGCTACGATTATGATAATAAACCGACACCTCAAGGATTGGATGATGCATTTAGGCCTTCAATGGATAGTAAGTAATCAACAGATAATGTTTTAGTAGGTTGCTTGAGTTAAAACTAGTTGCCTAATTTTATCATAAACTGTTTTTCTGTTCAATCAGTCGGGAGTTATTATGGAGGTATGTTGCATATGATCTCAATTTATATTGTCCATTGCAAAGTTTATCGTAAATCTTTTCCTGTTCTTTCTACTTCCTTAAGCTTCATTTCATTTAATAATCGGTGATTTTTAATTTACATTATAATGTGGATTAATGTAAGCTTATAATTAGATGCTCGTTTTATTGCTTTGTGTTTGTTATTTTAACCATCTGTTGTTATTTTATATTAAATATTTCATTCTCTATATATTTTTAATAGTTTTTCCTTAAAATTTTTTCGCTTTAGAGCAAAAATCTAGAAAAGTTCGGCAAAAAATTGATCGCATTCATTCAATACTTTTGTGTTAATTTGCTTGTTAATGTATATTTTAGATCCGATAATACTACATGAAGAGGAAATGCCACCGGAGCAGAAACATGTGACAACTTACGAGGAGCTTAGGAAGAAGAACCGAGAGGAGTATGAACAAAAGCGAGCACAGAACTACAGGTAAATTGGAAAGACTTTGGTATTGACAAATTGCAATATTTATTTTTACATTTTTTTCCAGGCACGTACAGCCGAAAGCCCCACCTAGTCCGCCGAGCACTTCTAGGGAATCTGAATTTAGTGACGACCCGTACAAACCGTCTTCACCAGCGCCAAAGACCAAATATGGAGATGTTTGGGGTTGAGTAATATCCCGAGCGCGTAGTTTGAATTTGTAGACATTTTAAATTATTAAGAATAAAATATACCAAGTTGAATACGAGGTGTCATACAATGTGCTACGCTTTCAGAATAAACAGCAGTATGTGAATGAAATCGTTTTTTATGGTAATATTTAGGTAAGCAGAGCGTTTAATTAGCGCAATTTTACGTTGTTTAGTTTCCCTAAACATTGTTTTTGTAAATGATGTGCTATTATTTGCCTTGTAGCATAATATTGTGAAAGTACATACAATTAGAAGGCATTTTAACTCGTTTTTTTACTCTGCCCCATACTGTACTTTAAACAGTAAATCAAGCTTTTATCTGAAAAGTTTATAAGTTTGAAAAAATCGAAAAGCTAAACTAACGCGTTATTAAAATGTTCACGAAACGTTCACGTGATTTCGCTAATTATGACTGATATTCATCATTTTCAAGCATAAGTTACATTAATTTACTATACTAAAGTTGAAGGAATGCCAAGGTAATCGAGAGCATGCACCCGACAGGTTCATTACAACTGTTACATACATTTATTTATTTGCGAAAAAGGATATAGCTTATATGATACATGGCCGACTAGTTTCGGATCATAATCAGGCATAAAAATAAGCTAAATTGTACTGAGCAAGTCAGCTATATTATTGGGTTAGATGAATCAAAATTAGATAATCTAATTAACATTCAAACAAAAGCTTTTTTGTAAGATGAAAATCCACAGTTAATACGCGGATATTTTACTTAAGTGGGTTTTATTGCTTTGGTCTGTGGTAATTTAAATTAAGGTTGTTAGCTTGGTTTTTTTATTACTCACGTATTGATTACAACATTTTAATTTTCAAGTAAGTTCATCTATCTAAGCTATTCGTAGGGAATAATAATTTTTAATTTTCTGGCATTTCCCGAAATTCTCCCAGCTAATTCAACTGGTTGAATCACATTTAATTAGCTCGAATCTCTAAATTCCATTATTTAATTAGTTTTACTGTAGTCATTTTCAATGTTGTGATTCAACCCGAACCCACCTATTAGTTTTTGCTTGGTTAAATTTGATGAATGCGTCCTTCGCATTTTTGCGCTCTGCTTATTATGTACCCACTTATCAATATTTGTTCTTGCTAATAGTCTAACGCAATGCCATTTTAAAAACCAGTAAGGTTATTACTCGATTAAAGCTACAGAATATCAACATATCAACAGCTGACATGTGATTTAAATGTATATTTGCTGGATATTATCAAATTTAGCCTATTAAAATGGCTAAATGCGATTGATGGTCTTAATGTATGACAATAGCCAGATGTAAAAGAAGCTCAACAGACAATGGAGATAATTAATTAAGTAATTAATAAATTACAACTATTGTAATCTGTTGCAGAATAAGTTTGATTCTAGGTAGACCACAATTATTAATGATGCTGTTATCGGTGTTTATTAGCTTCATTTGACTTAGTTTTAATATTTTACACTTTAAATCAACAAGTATTAGTACCTTAATTTAATTTGTTGCTTCTTTAGTGTTTGTTAATCATGAACGTAAAGCCCAGTTTTAACATTTTGCATCAGCAGAAGCTCTCACCGCGCTAGTTCTTGTTTATATCAGTACCAATGCATTACACTTTTCTTATTGCGAACTGTCTTATTAAGAAATTGCTTAGTAATTATGATTCACTTTTAAATTTATTTGAATAAAAAATAGTGTTTGGGAAGAATTTTAGTTAATCGAACTACATTTTTTGATATGTTTTCTGTTATGTTTCTTTCGAGCTAGCACTTGGCTCTGTTATGAAAATTGCTTTTGCATATTTTTATATAAAAAGTTATGCGAATGAATTAATTATTTTAAACCATTCATCTGTTTATTACTACGATTCAATCACTCACCCATTTTTTACCTTTTGACTTGACTAATAATAAGCACACGCATATTTATGTATGTAATTCTTCGATGAAATTAAATTAATTTTTTTACTGCACCATAGTCAAATGTACATATTTATATTTATGGAGTTGTCAAGTGTTTTTACACTGTATTCTCTGTTATCATATGGTACAATAAAGTGTTTGTTATATTTTGGTACTTTCCGCAGGGAAAATTGCGAAAAATAATCGCAGTTGAACAGTTTCTAGATAGGAATACGTAATTTGGCACATAATTGGTGATTATGTGAAGAAAAAGTGATTGATGCAGACTAACGTAAACTCATTTGGTTGTTCGTTCAAATATTTTCGCAGGTGCCGTTTGATCCTTTAAGCTCAAAATAAGCAATCGAAGATGGGGAAAAACGCTATGAATTGTTTAAACAACAGAAGAGTAGGGAGGAATTCTGGTTTACGGAGTCAGTCATTGAGTAAGAAGGTTGTACAACAAAGTGGCTATGCCAAGGTGCGAATATATTTTCAGTTTGTTGGCAGAACCTCCGAGTGACTGATCGACAGTACTATTTACCGGTTAGTGGTACCAATTTTGCGAGTTATTTGAAACAGAAGCAGGTATGTGTAGGATATAAAATGTTAATTTTTTTATACATTTTTATTTTATTTCCATTATTTCATTGTTCCATTTGGATTTTTTATTGTTTTCTTGGAAAAAAGTTTCTTTAAGTGCATCCGGTTTTAATGATAATGTATGTACATGCATTTTTGGACAGCAATTTTTTTTGTTGAAACAGAAATTTCTTAGTTTTTATTTACTTGATTTATGAGATAAAATGGTGTTCTTACTCTAGTCGATTTTTACAAATAAAACTGCTATTTTTGAGGAGACACGTTTTTGTGATTTTGAATTTTGAAAACTCGTGCTGTTGGGCAACCTGCAGTGAATTCGAACAGTTTTACTATTTTAATTCAGCTAAAAGTTTTTAATACTTCTCATAAGTCTTATTTAATAAAATATTTAACTTTGAATATTCAAAGGCCTATTTCCGGGAAGACTATTTCTAGGCTACAAGACAAAAGCTTTTTGAATGCAGCCTTGAATTAAAATGTTAGCAATAATGTGTAAAGTCATTACTTTACATGAAAAACATTCTTGAAAATGTTGATTAAACCGCACTACTTAATATTTACAATCCTAATTCAATGTTATTTTCGTTTGTCTATTTACGTCGAAGCAGGAAATGGAGCGCGAGATTTAAGCGTCTTAAAGTTTCGATGTTTAATTTTTAAAATCATATATTATTTTCCTATGGATGCAGAACTGTATTTATATAATTAATTAATTTAAGTATAAATATGTATTGTTGCAGTTAGTTTAAAAACATTAGCAGCATCCGCATTGAAGATTAAATATGGATTAAAGTAAAAATCTATTACTGGTTTTACAATTTATGTATGGCGTACATTATTCATATGCCGGGGATTATTTAAATTGTCGTTGATTGAACTGCCATATTTATTTTAAATTATTTACATTTATATTCAATATTATAAATATACCGGGTTTCCTGTAGGTTGCATTCTTCAACTGAATGGATTACTAATATTGTTCTGTTCATTTCTATACATTGTATAGATATTATAAATACAATTTAAAATAAGAATTTTGAAAAATTTTAACACAATTGAATATTCTACATTCGAAAAGGACAATCACCACGCGTGCCTTCTTTATGAAAATTTTACTTCGAGGAAAATGAGCATGACTTTCTAGCATAACGCAAACTACTCATTTTCAATTGTAAGAACAAAATTAAATAGCTTAACTTTAATCCTAACATATACGAATATTAAATATACCGATATGTTTATGTTTATACAAGCTGTTCAATAATAGCAAGTTTATATACAAAAAAGGAAACGTGGAGATGGCTAAAGTTTCGATAAATTTTTCTCAATGTTAGAATACGCATTTATTCATACGGTCTAAATAATTAGACACAGTAAATGGCTAAATATTTTTAATAAAAAGTTGTTCTGTTTAACGCAAAAACTTTATGTTTTTGAATTTTTGTTGATCCTGCTTCCATTTTAGAGCTGTAGTAATTTGCACGACTATATCAACTTTTGGCTACCTAAACATGAACTGATTTGACTATAAGTAAGTTAATAGACATTTAAAGTACTTGTTAAATACCTACTTATTCACCAAGAAACATTCTTTAATAAGTGATGAAAGAATGAGGAGAAGCAATTAACATTTTTCGAAAAATGTCAACCACTTTGGAAAATATGCGGAAAAAGTTTCGATTATTTTCCATAAACGTAACAAAAAAGGAAAAATTGGTTTGAAGAGAAAATAAAAAAGAAAAAAAAACAAGAGTCTAAAGAGAATTGCCTAAATTTTCTGTTAAGAATCTCACAGTTTTGTGGAAATGAAAGCGAAACATCTAGAAAAAATATTTCTGAAACTCTTGAAAATACGTGTAAGACAAGAAACGTATTTACGCAATTCTAAAACTATTTTAGCATAATATAGGTACCATTTACAACATTGCTCAAGGTCCCCACAATTCATGGGCAATTTTACCAAAAACTCCCAGTATATCCGCAGCTATATATTCAACCATACTTTTTAACCGATCTTTATAATTTTTTTGTTAAACATTTTAAACCATGAACCACATATGTGTTAGAAATTCCGGTATATTATTGCAGTATAGTGAGTGCTTTTGACCACGAGGCGATTTTTAATAGAATTTATGTATTTTTCTGTTGATTTTGGCTTGCTGCTGCTCAAAATTGGATTCATTAAAGTAATTTTCATTATCAATATAAACTGCTTTTATTTGCATCTGAAATTCCAGGTAAGGAAAGTTCTTCATTTAAGCAGTTCGATTTTCAGTGAAAAAGGGAATAAGATCGTTCTTATTTTATTCACAGTTCACATTCCGTGTTCTGTACAGTGATTCATATTATTTAGCAAACTATTTATTATTATTATAAAGTCGCATCTTGTAAGTTCTCACCTTGCAGTCATTGTTGATTCGCCTATACACTTGAGCTTTCAAGTTGCACCTTCAAGGCGAAAAATGCGAAACACTTCTGATACTAATCTTAAATTTAAATTCATTTGGAAAATTTTCAGTTCTCGTTTAACCTTAGGAAACTTGGATGGAATTTTAATAATTTTTGTTGCTTTAATAATTTCTTTCATTCTTCAATTGCTTTTCTGCGATGTGTCGCTTTTATCAGATTCACATGCATATGTTACAAGTATATTGCAATATGTATGCTTCGAAATTTTATGTAATAATTTAGTAATAATAAAGTGGAAGTATTGTTGACTCAGTTCTTAATATTCTGCAGCGGTACTAATTAGTTTTTACTATGCAATTTGCGACATTGCGACATTGAAAGCGCAAGGATATTTCCCGAATGAAAGCAGCTATGTGCTGAATACTATTAACTCTTTTATATAGGCAGATAATTGACCATATATGATTTCTATACATTTCTAAAAAAATTACAAGTTCCTATTCGAAAATCATGGCTTAATTTAAGATTACTTGCAAACGTGTTAGAACCATTAAAAAAATGCGTAACTCAACATGCTCATCAAGGAAACCACACTCATTTCAGCTTCAAATCAGGTAGAGCAAGTGACGTCTATTTACTATCCATTAATTTTATTAATTCGAAATAAATAATCAGAGGAGCAATAAAATATCCATTATGGTACAAATTGTTCATTCTGTCAGTGGAATATGGGTTTGCGGTTTTGTCGGATTACCAATTTGAAATGCTCGAGAAGTTTCGCGAAACGGTCCCCAAATTCACTAAAGGAATATTCAATTAGGGTTTTATGCAAAATGTAAATTTATGTTTGTGTCAAAATTCCTATTGCTTTCTGAGTAAAATGCTGGATGAAATTGACAAATTAAATAAATAAACAAACACATTAAAACATCTGGTTAAATAATTTAAGTTGAGATTTGAATAAATAATTCTGAAAAAAATTCTACCAGCAGAAAATTATCATTAATATCATCTTAGACAGTGGTAGAATTGTCGAACGCAAAGTAGACTGAGGTCTCCTATTAATCCTCTATTTTTAGAAGAACTATAATTGGTGACAAGGCGATTGGTTTCTAAATTTCAGTTATTTTCAAACACACTGCAACTAATTTAATTTTAATGACGATCTATCTGTTTGACTTATATTGAGTAACCAAAGAAAAAGCCGAAAGTTTCAGTACTTTTTATGCTGTTTTGTGCAATTGTGCTTAATTAAAATATTTTGCAATCAGAACAAAGTTCAATTCTAAAATAAAAGCGTACTTGTGAGAGCCAAATTTCCGTTTCCATTTATACCACCCTAATCAACCCTTCCAAAAAAAACACAATTTCCTCACATTTCGACCTATCTTCAACAAGTGACTATAATAATGCCGCTTTAATTTGGCTCAGTTTATAGATAAAGATGGAACTGTAGAAAATTCCATTTAAAGTGAAGTAATTGCAAGATAATCTTGAATACAAAGTTCCAAAGGGACAATAGCTAATGGAAAACATATTGTTTGTTTGCCATCAGTTGCTTACTACATTTCCATTGTTTTCCTTGAGTATCTGTAAAGGAGCACTTGAGAGAACAGGAAAAACATTGCATTATACCATTAGCTAAGGTTAAAAGATTTGTCATAGTATTGTAAATGATAATTGGAAAACTAGGTCAGTTTCTGAAGCTTTACTCTAATATATTTTGGAATACAATAATAAATTAAGTGCTGAATATAATAGTAAAATAAATGTAGAATAGAATGATACAAAGCAGTACTTAGCTTTTGAAGCGTTCCAGTTTCAAACTAGGCACTTTCTAGTGTGCCTATTGCCATTTGCATTTTTGTTTATACAATGGACAATAATATCCATTAAATTGTAAATGACTAGCCTTATACAAACAGCGACTTAAAGACGCAAATACAATGGCTTGAGCCGATACGCCCAGTTTCACCTTAAACGAAAACGATGTCAACTTGCGATTTTTCAAGTCAGACTCGATCATGTGATATTGAAGGTACCGAGAAGAAACGCGAAGAAAAGGAAGAGCTAAACAGCAGTTAGGGAATGTGGGTTAATAGATACATAGATGCAGCTTGAGAATAATTGATGTCGTCGCGATTCCGAAAAATTGTCTTATCTTAAGAGCACCTGTTATTTTCTGTTCACATTACAAATTGTCTACATAAATTTTAATTAAAGTGATTTTTTTATTATTAAGAATATGAATTTAATGCTTTGTATGTGCGTTTTAATCCGCATGAAATAGCTGATAAATTTTGAATAATGGAAACGTTTCTAATGAACCAATGCTGGTTTAAACTGGGTGTTATAACATGTATGATATTGTTTAGGTATGACCGCAATAACTTAATAAGCAGGTATTTGTAGGTATCTTCAACAATTGTCTATTTAATAAAAGCGAAACAACATTTGAAATGAAAGTTGCTCTAGAATCGTAGGTGTTGGTTGAAAAGAACAAATGCCTATTTATGTGTTTCATTAAAACTAGAGTTAGTTAGTTATACCACAAGAAGTTTAGGAAAAAATTGATTTTGATAAAAAAAATTGAATTTTTTGACTTTTGGAAAATAAAAATTTGACGACAGCTAGAATTCGCCTTTTAAAACGCACCATCCGGAGAAGCTTTTACATAATAAGTCTCGTTAATCAGTTTAAAACTGCCTGACCGTATATCGATTAAACAACTAATTCTCATACAATTGATGAGAATATCTGTATATGAAAGTTTGTCTATCGTTAGCAGAGTTGCTAACGATAAGTGTAGAGTAAGTTTCCGTAATCTCCGTGCTTGAACTCTTCAAAGCTAGTTATGCATTCCAATATAAATACTTTAATAGTTTCTTCTAATTGTAGATATTAATGGTTTTTTTTTCAGAATGGCGCTACAAAATAATGAAACGAAAGTCAATATGGACAATGTTAGACACCAACAACCATGGTTCGGATCAAAGACCAGCTGCACGTCGGACAAAAGGTAGGTCAATGCTTACAACATTAGACTAACAAATATAATTAATAGGAAGTTGATTAGTCCATTCTCTGAGTTGCGCATATTTTATTTATATTTATAAAGACATTTTTTTTTGTTATCAGGTTCCGTAATTAATCTTATTTATCATACAAAAGCTATGAGAACTTTTAATGAATATAGTGTGAGCTTTTGAATAGAAACCATCGAAACACAATTTACATTTCTAATGTTTATGGTGCCTCTGCGAAGATTTTTGCAGTTTTTCCATACTTACGACAATGTCTTCAAAATTAGTCTTCTGACATTTATAATGCAATAAGAAGCTGACTCAGAAAGTTCAGAAATTGAATTTTCTTTGAATTTATCTTAAATTTGCAACAAGACTTAGATTTCATTTAACATTTTTTTAAAATTTCATAATTTTCTTCCTTAGTGTGATTTTTAAAGCATTATGAGGATCGCTTCGTTTCGGTTAATTGGGTTTCAAGGTCGATTTGTTTGGTAATATTTGTAATAACCTGGTTTAACCTCGCAGAACCTAATGATAACATATTACCCGATATAATTTGTAGCCATCTTTAACGTTTTAAATAATTAGATAACAATTCAATTGGACCAAGGAGAACACAAAAATAAGGGCGCAGCCTTTCTAAAAGAAATTTTTAGCTACATTTTTTGCAGTTTAAAAATATTTCTAGCATAATGTAGGGCGCGATTTAAAGTATGCTCAGATTTTGCAATTTTTGAGGTTTTAACATTGATAATATTTCTCTGCTTATGAATTGTAATGTAATTGAGTTTTAACATGATTTAACTTAACTGCACCTGGCGTTTTACTTGCATATTGAGCAACCATTCTTAGGGGCATTTTACTTCTGTACAGTTCGGATTTTCAAAATTAGTACATTTAGTCATACACACTATAAAAGCGATTAAAAGAGAACAAGTTTTTGTAAACAACTCGAGTTTGATCTTATTTTCCTTTTGTTAGTTTTGTCCAATGGCATCAGCCAGTTCCTAATAAATTTGTAAAGTGTTCTAATTTATTTTTAAAAATGTACTAAAATAGTTCGCTCGCTTCTGCACAAATTGTTAGACAGTGAGTCAAAGGTAATGCTATTCTAAAAGAAGATTGCCGGTTTACTTTATTTTCGGCAATTAATTAATGACCAATGAAAATCTGCAACAAGAATCCTGCTGGTGTTTTAAGTAGTTTATCCAGCTATTAAATAGGTTTTTTTTATGGTGCACCTTTGACTTTTAAATGGTAACTTTTAGCTGATAAGGCACATACCCACTTACTTTCTTGTTATGTTATTTGTGTTAAAATTGCATTTGCATATATTTCTGTTATATTGCGTACTTTTGCAGCATGTGTTGAAATATGCATTTTTTGGATTTGTTCTGTTGCTCAATACTGGCATAAACATTTCTTTTAGGTATGCTAATAATTCTGATAAACATAGTTATTGTTAATAACTGCAGATTGTCGTTAAGCGTAATCACTAACTAAATGTTTACACATAAGCATTCAATTTGTTTATTTCTAAACTAACTAACTAAATTTTTAAATTGGCTTTTGTAGAAAATATTGAAAGCAAGCGTAAGTGCTGTTTGCTAAGTCTGATTATTTCATTTTTTGTTTTTTTTTGCGAACCGTTTGATCTGCAGGAATGAGCTTTTGCACACAAAATACTACCATAATAGCTACTTTTTCGCTTCTTAATCGAATTTAGTGAACTTTTAAGGATCTTATACATAGTATGAGTCTTACTACAATAATTTATAAACCACTGCAAAATATTTCTCAGGAAATAAATGCTGAAGCGCCACTGAACTTTACACGTACTCGGAAAAACGGATTGTTATGATCAAAAAAACAAGAAAAAATTAAAAAGTTCAGAATTCTCCATGAGGATTAATTCTCAATGAGTTTTGTAGCTTTAGAAATGTACAGTTATTAGTACACTGCGACCCAAAAGTGAAGCATAACTTAAATATTCCCCAACTTTTGGTTGTAAATTCTTCTTCTATGTAGGAAAAAATGTGGTAAACATATAGTACAGGGTGTTTAAATAATATAATGTGTTCTTGGTCAAAGTTTAAATCGGTCTGCGAGCAATATCAACTAGCTCAGACAGAAACGTTTACAGTGTTATAGCCTCATGTATTCTGAATAAATTGGATGTTTAATCGTCTGTTTGTCATGACATTTTTTTAAACCGGTTACAGTTTCTGCTCGCATTTTATTTAACCATTTTTTTAAATCTAAAGAAAGCTGTGTTTAAACTATCAACCTTTGTTTATTTTGTCACGTTTGTAATTCCATAAAGAAACAAGACAAAAAACAATTTGCGTAGGGTTGAAAACGAAAATAACGAATCTTAGGAAACTTCTTAGAAAAAACTTTTAAAACATAGTTGACAGAGGACAGATAATGACAAAATAGTCGAAGCTATCAGCTTGTAGCGAAATGTTGCTCGCACAGCCCTTTTATCAGAAATTTTCACTGCAAATAAAAAAAAGTTTGAGTAAATTTTATCCCAAAAATGTGACTCGTCATAAATAATTCATATTTTTCGAACGGCTCAGGTTAAATAGACGATTAAAGAGACAAAGTATTCAGAAGACACAAGGCTGTAATATCATAGAGTTTTTCTGTCTGAGGCTAACTTCCTATTGCCAGCAAAAAGATTTATAACCGAAGAAAAGATGAGTATTTATTTATAAACACCCTGCAACATGTTTAATTGATTTTGTCCATATCGTAAATTTTAAATTTTGACTAAGAATAGAGTTATCACTATGCACATCGGATCACCGGCTAAGAAAATATTCAAAAGTTAGGAAATATTTAAGCTATGCGTTAAATTTGCAGCCCAATGTATTTTGTTGCACTTTCATCCACGCCAAGTTCACAAAACAAAACATTTTCAATTTTTTTAAGCGACTACTGCAAATATATACTTTTCAGATAATACTTATAAGGAAATTGTATGCAATAGGCTAATATGAATCGTTAAAACATGCACCTTGGGAACGAGCTAATTAAATTTATCACTGGTAGCGCATATGAAACACTATATTTCGTTCGCATTTAATTAGACTGGTTTTTTACAGTGTCGATGATACTTTTATGACATTCCAATCTAAGGACCCCATTATAAATATTCCGTTGGATAAAGTTCCTAATAAAGACAAAGTACCTGGCAGTGCTGGGGGTCATGGGATTCCTGTGGAACATCCCACTTCGTAAGTATTGCATTATTTAAAAAAACTCTTAAACACTCTGATTATTTATTATTTGGATATATTTATATGTTTTATTAATTTGTATTGAAAATATTTTGATCATACTTTTGAATTGGCAATGCACTATGCATATTTTGCAAAAAAATAAATTTTTTTAACCGTGTCATTTATGCATTCTCCAAATTTAAAAAAATTATCACTTTATTTGTCTGATGTGCTAATCTATTTGCACCTACAAATACAAAACTAAATATAGGTCTATATACATTTTTATTTGCGGGTTGAGTCATGAATTTCACAGCTATATGAATCTTCAAAGTTAGTGTTAAGATTACACCCCCGAATTATTAGTCATTGGCGATTAAAATAACGAGACGCGAGTGAAGGTTCAGAAATAACGGCGAGAAAAAGTTAGGGCCAAGATGAAAAGTTTTTAGTAGTTGTAACCTGGCAGGTTCATTTGTTGAATATACTAAGATCTAAATTTGTGGGAAGAAATAAAGTGGGACTTTGATTTTTCGACTTTAATCTGTGCGCTATTTGATATACTTTTCTCGCTAACTTTATATTTGATAATGGTCTTGTCCCAGAAAAATTCTGAATTACTATACATGGATGTTGATGAGATTCACTTGTTCAAAGATTTAGCTCTATGAGATGTAAATAAGATACTTTTGTGTTGATTTGAAGATAAGACATAAAGGATAAATTAGTACTTTTAATTTATTTAAGTTTCAATTGCTTTAATACTTTTTACGACTGTTTCTAATCGATCAATTAGTTTGAATTTTAAAACAATGTGAAGTTTAGGTTTGTCAACAAATTATTTCTTTACTTTTATATCGTTTAAAAAAAGCATCTAGCGATCGTTTTCCATATATTGGCTTAAGTCATTGTGAGTTCAATCAACTAGTGTTATTTTAAGTGAAAGTTGGTCTAAAGATATTCTGATTCAACGAACCGTTCCTATTAGCATCCATGTTGAGGATGTTTTTTTATATTTTTTGAGGAGTATATCAAATAATAGTAATTCTTCTTAAAGGGATTTTTACAATCATATAACAGATTTTGGTACTTAAACCGATAGTCTTAACTGGAACAATTTACTATAAAAAAGTCATAATCATCATAAGTAATGTTTTGAGCAGTCGAAGTATAAGTTTAGTTGTTTGTTTGATACTTGAAATGTGTTTGTATGTTAAATATGGGGAAACCTGACGCGTTTATATTTAAAAGTCTAAGTAAAATACATTATACAGTAAAGATTATAGTTTAAAAATAGTAAAATAATTGCATTCCAATATGTTATGTATTTGACCATTAAAGTTGGGAAAGTCCAATGAGTATTATTTCTAGTTATTTTGTCATGAGATCCTACATAATTTTAAAGATAATTGCTAACAATCGGAATATCATCCATAAATCAAAGAAAATATTCAATATTGTATATATTTATATTACATCGTCTATTTTTTCTCCATATATGAAAATAAAAAGTTTGATACCACCTAACCGATTGACTTAGTGAAGAGCTTTACATCCACTTTGCTCTAATAGGAGGATGCATAGATATAATAAAAATAGTCAAACTACTACAAAGTTTTATAGATACCCTTTTAGTGAAATCATCAGATTTAAATTTGACATAACATCAGGCAGCAAGACAATTAAATGTAACAAAGACTTATAGAACAAAGCCATATTAGATTGCAAATAAATTTTACAGAACATTTCACAAAATAAATGTTGCTTTCATTTCGATGTATTTTTGAATTTTTATTATTGATGTAGACATAGACTGTACAAGACGCTACAAAACTTAGAATCGTATAATAAATTCTAGTTTAATTCAGTGTCTATTTTTATAGTAAAATATATTCCAATTGAAATTGATTTAGTTTGCACGATAACCATATTCACAAAACTATATAAAATACTCACTGTTTTTGTCCAAACTTTCTCAGTTCCTTTAACCCATTTCTGAGAAGTTTGAAGTGTTTAAAATTTGCGCAAACTAACAATATTTTTATTTACTTCTAGTTATGTGGAAACCCTGATGCACCTTCTGAAGGGCAATGTGGGTTCCGGAATATTCGCTATGGGCGATGGTATTCGAAATGCAGGAATAATTGTGGGACCAATCGTTGTTTTAATTTTAGGTGTGATATGTACGCATTGTCAACATCTGCTGGTAAGTCAATTTAAATTAATTTTCCCATGAAATTTAATTTCAAGCAAATTTACAAAATGCACCGCAAAATTAATTCGATTATGCTTTGGAGCCTTCAAATATATATATTATGTTTGACCAGAACATTCTAGTGTTAACCAGTAAAAATTCCTCCAGCCAAGAACAAGTTAACGTTTCTAAAAATATTTTCGATGTTTCAGTTTACAGTTCAAACATCCATCTTTGCGCTTGAATTATAAGATACTGACATGCAAAATGAAAGCTATATAGTGACTAGCAATTTCTGTGAAAGTATACAGCAATTTCTTCGGAATCTAGTATTTTCCGGTCATTCTATCACTACCAACTTATCAGATGAAGATAATATCTTCATCCATGCTACAGACGCAAATATTTTAACATTTTTTTGGTTCAATTATAGGTTGAAGCTTTTAAATGTACTAAAAAAAATAAAAAGAAATTGGAGCGCTTCATCTTATTAGCATCCATACATTTTTCCACCTAATATGAAAGGTAGAATGGAAAGGACTGTTTTTCATTGAAATTAACTATTTATGTTCAAATAGCATTGAACGTTTGCTTGAATACATCCGGCACATGGATTTACATAACCATACCCCAGTATTTTATTTGTTTGTGTAATTCCTGCACTCGAAACATTTAATGCAATCCTTTTTTCCAATTTTAATTGGCTTAATTCACTGAGCTTTAACAAGCAAATATTTCTAGATTAATATCGAAATTGCAATGCAATTTGGCATTGTTTTCGAAATTCTGGAATTTGCTAAATTCCAGATTGGACACATCCTGTTGTGGCTGCCGATGTAAGTCACACGTGGGTGATAAACGGTGCCCTAATAGCACGCGAAGATTATTTAAATCATCGACTTAATTATTATTAGAATTGAACATAATTTTTTTTTGTAATCGTTTTTAAGTACGTAGCTGTGAAGGTTACCCTCGTGACTTTAATAAAAATGCGAGTGCATTTTACGGCTTTAAGTGTCATATTTACATCTAATTGTTGGATTTTACTCGTAATATATTATTATTATTAATGTGGTCGAGGTTCAACGGAAGCATTTACGCCAGTAGATTAGCGAAGCTTCTCGCAAATACCTCTCATAAATTACAAAAATTATGAACTATTATGAATAATTACGTAAATAGCGGATCGATTGGACGTTTAAAATTTACACGATCTGAACGGGGTTTCTGGGATTTATTTTCTAGATCTGATAAAAATTTATATTCAGTTATGTACAAGACTAAAAGAAAACTACCGCCTTTTTTTAAGGACAATTTGCTGATTGAATCACTAAATAATAATCAGATGGAGGAGAAGATGTGATTAAAAATTGTTTTTATTGCTTTTCTTACTTGCTTATTTATATCAACTTCCCTTCTTAAATTTATGTTTTATTATGTTGCCTTCGACTGTTCAAATGTTCAAAGCCACAACTACTCGATTACCTTTTACTGAGAGCACGCTGCATTTATCTCCATTGAATAAGGCAATTCAAACAATTAAAATACAAATTACACATTCTTTATTACACCTGTCTGGCATTCTCGGTTTGAAGGATAAGACTACAATTTTAACCAGATATAACCAGAATTCAGTAGGGTATTATGAAATAAAATTTAATTGCTATCTTGTGTAAATATCAAATTATAAGTTCGATCATTTCATACACCGTGATTGAAATTCCAAAAGTTGTCTTGAGGCAAAATTGCAAAACGCTTTCCAGTTATTGATGCGTTTTATTGATGTTTATTTATGAGTTATTTATGTACATATTGTTGACACTGCGCTAGTCGAAATTAATTTATGTTAAATCAATATGCTCAACAAAAACTGCAGATTATAAATATTAATAAGAAAAATACTATTTTAGTAGCAAGTTTTTACTACAGCATCACAGTTGTTTTACTACTCGTATTTTATTATTGTCCTGTTTGATTCCAGTATTTCCAGTTCTCTGTATTGTTGCCATACGTTTTTAATGTCGATTTCGGTCAACGGCTATCTTTTTTATGTATCCATGTGGTTGGTGGTTTTTCCGTTTTTCTGGGGGTGTTCATTCCGATATATTCCTTGGAGTTTTTCCCCATACGTCTTACATGTCCGTACTATTAATGGCTGTTTTTCAATATCTTCTTCATTTGTCTTTTATTTTGTTTTGGTTTTTAGGTCCATCTTTTAATTTAATTTCTCATTTGTTCTAATGCAGATCTTCTAGCTGCTCTTCTCCACAAATCAATTTAAACTGCTAGTAGATTAGTAGATTGCTATTAAGTCTTTGTCTTAACTGTCACGCTTCTGATCCATGCATAATAACTGGTTTTAATATGGTATCAAATATTCTTGTCTTTGTTTTTGGTCTTATGTTTTTCTGCCATAATATTGAGTTCTGTGCTCCCATCACTTGTTTTCCTTTAGTTATTATGTCCTTTATAGCTTCCTCAGTTCGTCCTGTCTTGTCAGATGTATGCATCCTTGAGCAATTGCTACCCGATCATCTGCATAGTGTAATGTATATAATGTGGTGGCTCCGATATTCAGCCTCATTCTAATAATTTTTTTCATTGTCTGAGAGCTTCATATACCATTTCATAAATCATTTTGAATCCGCTAGATTGTTTTTACTTTTGTTCTAGATGTTGTATTGCTATGTAACTCTTTGATGGTCTCGATTAGTGTGACGTTTATACTGGTTTTTTCAATACTTTCCAAATTTTACTAACCGGCAGAGTTTCGCACTCTGTTGTAAGGTCAACAAAGAGTAGATGTACTTCTTGAAACCTCACCATTCTTGTTTTTATTAATTGTGTTAGCCAAAAGCCGCTATCGGCTGTTGATCGTCCTGCTCTAAAGATTGCTCTTTCGATTAAAAAAGTCGAATTTATTCAAATATTATCCTCTGATAAGTTTCTGAGACTCGTTAGAAACTTCTTCAGGGCCAGCCGCGTTTGCATTTTCGCTAGTGATGTAATACTTCAGATTTAACAATGGTTAAAACGTATCCCCAAAATATTATGGAGTGATTTCCGAAAAGAAAATTCAGCATTTTACAGCTTGCTAATGCTTATATTTGGGTGCTAAAGAAAAATATGCTGAGTTTTTTGAAGTGAAAACACAAATAATACACACCAAAAATTCTTCCGTTTATCTTTCGGTTTAAAATTGAACATTTGTTTAACACCATTGTGTGGAATTTGGGACTATTAAAGTTTTGTATGTAATTGTTTAGCGATGGCAACAAAGACCGTGCAAATTAGTTAAAACGCATTAAGCTCTTCATGCGAAATCGATCTTGTTGAATACCTAAATTTCCCATGTCGTATTTGGAACAAATGTGGTTTGTAATAATTTTTTAGATAAACAGGAAAGTAGTTTTCGCTAATTATGCGAGAATTTGGGCAATTTTGTTTGTAACAATCATTCGACTCGAGCGTGTAGCAGCGCTTTATATTTCGATTTTAAGTTAATATACATGGCTACAAAACAAAATGAATTCACAATCGAATCCAGTAGAAATGTCTCACTTCGGATTGTTTGTCATTTATTAAAGTGTAATTATTGATTAAAGAAAACATCAAAAAAACTAAATTTTAGAAGATTTGTTGCTTTGTTCGCAGCTTTGTTGTATCGTAAAATTTCCAATACACTCATTTTCACATTTGTTTTACGTAAGGGTTAACTGTTTATACAACCATTGTTAATTCTTTTCTATGGTCAGTACTTGTTAACGGTTAATAAAGCAAAACAATGCCATTATGTATTGGTATTAGCCTGGAGCCTAACTAAAGAAGGGAGTCGGCTTATTAAAAAATGATTCTGGGTGCATTCTGTTCAAACTCTTTAAACCCAAAATTATATTTTTGATTTAATTATGCAATTTATGCCGTGCGACATATTTCCTTCCTCTTGTCCTCTGTATTAATTTAATATTTTTGTCACTTATTACTATTTGGAATGTAAACCAACACATTACCTTTATTGACGATTATGTATTATTCAAAAAATACGCAAATATTTATACATCTTACTGACAATGAAATTCTTCACTTGAAAACGAATACATAATTAGCTTAGCTTATAATTATGCGTATTCTCCTATGTTATAATATTTTCTTATTTACTCAAATTATATTGATGTTTATTCAAGCTTGTGCCATTTTTGCGAGGTTGGTTTAGCAAATATATTAATTTAGTCTTGGTCACTTTATTATAAGCTGTAAAGTACCGTTTATTGTAAGCCTGTAAACTAAAATAATGAAATTTAAGAAGCTTTAATGTTTTAGAAAAATAGCAATACTTTTTTAGATTTTAGTGGTTCTTGGGTTTTTTAAAAACGAAGAAAAACCTGTTTTAGTGAAAAAAATTGGAAAAAATGTATCTTCATTTGTTTTGTTTCAGTTGAAAACAGCAAGGGGTTTGAATGAATCCCAAAAACTGGAAGTGAGCCCAGATTTTGCAGAAACTGTCGAGCTGTGTTTTGCGAATGGACCGCCACGATTACGGGGTATGGCCAAAACGATGAAACGAATGGTGAACTTGTTTTTGTGTGTCACTCAACTCGGATTCTGTTGTGTGTATTTCGTTTTTATTTCGGAGAATATTAAACAGGTAAAGTCTAATTAGAATTCTCCATATAACCAGTTTTAACCAGAGTATGTTGATGGACTTTCAAAGCTGTTCGGAATTGATTAATATATATGGGGATTTTTTCTTATATTGTGTTGGGTTTAACACGATAGTTTTATATTTAATTAACAATAATTTTCAGTATTTTCATTTAATTGTTCGAGAAATTATTTAGAAACAATTAGTACGTACGAGTGTTACCAGCAATTCCAAAGTTAAGCTAGATCGCATCTTAATCGTCATTGTTTGACATTCTTGCATTTTATAAATAGAAAGTGTATTAATCCCGATTTTTCATTTAATAAACTATGTTTGCTCCAGACAGAAAAGCTGAACTTAGAAAGAATTTAAGAATATGGGACCAACTTAAGAACTTAACTTGAGACTTCTTAATAATCATTTTTAAATTTTAATCTAATGCGTTTTGAAACCACTACTTCAAAATTAATTTCACTTATTAGACTAAAGTGCTTAGAAACGTTTTATTCTATTGACTTGCAAACATCCTACTGAGGAAATCTTTCATTTGACATTAATTTTCATATATTTAAAAAAAATACTATCTAATTGAAATCCATTTTAAAAATTATTAATATCTGATTTCCTTTTAAAAGTTGTCAGGTAATAATAATTTTCTATTACCTCATAAACTCAAAAACCACGACTAAAATTCAGAATTTTAAGTCAAAATATTTTCAATTCTGAGACAATGGTAAGCGGAAACTAGCAGTTTCACTTCTTTTATGGAAGAAAAATTTAATTAAAACAAAAAACATAAAAACTAAAAAGGAATTAGTTCAATAATTCATCTTTCAATTCTAATTTGTTATTTATACAATTTGTTGCAAAACTGTTCCTTTTGCATTAAAGGGAGATAGTAGAAAAACAGAGGAACAGAGGATTAATAGTTGAAAAACACTAATGGGTTTTTCGGGTTTTCAGGCCGTCGTTCGGCAGAATTTCTTCCTGACGTTTCGCAAGCACGAGTGGCTTGCATCTTCAGAAGTGGTTTGTTTGAACGTTTACGCTGTTCCGAGGGAACGTCAGGAAGAAATTCTACCGATCGACGGCCTAAAAACACCCGAAAAACCCATTAGTTTCAACTCGGAATCAAACTCGATTATTTCGAGTATTCGAATATTCAAAAAGTAATAAATTATGTCTAGTCATAATTCGAATACTCGAATACTCGAATACTCGAATACACCAACATTATCAAACTGACAAGGTGCAAATATCTTTATATGCACTTTGTATACTTTTATAAAATAAATTATTCATATTCTACAAGCATTTAAACAAATACCCATATATTTACAAGCAAATGAAAATAATTATATGTACGCTCCTGCAAATGAATATAAAATTACGTCTCTGTGTTCTAGTGATTTTTCTTCTGGTCTTTTTTATCCGTTGCGGCTAATTGCCAAAAATGATATGATATAACGATTTTTCTTCTTGGAAAACGGTAAACGGAAAACGAATACTCGAATATTCGAATTATCGTTAGATATTCGAGTATTCGAATAATTTTACTATTCGTGTAACTCACTAAACGAGTATTCGAATTTTAGATTTTAAAAAATTCCGAGTTTCAGGGAATGGCCTCGAAAGTCTATCTCTTTTGATTATTAAAAGACATTTAAAACATATTCACAACTTGTCGATTTTTGCCAAAATAAGATTTAATTTATTCGAACTCAATATACTGCTTTCATATACTTGTATGGAATAAAATATAAAAAAACCACAAAATTGGTGATTTTGTTGGTTCTTGAATGTCTTAATTGAGCAGGGTAAAATATTATTTTTTTTTGGGTACGAATGAAATCCAAAAATAAAGTTTATTTAATTTTTTTCTCGAAAAAAAAATTATTGACTAAAAGAGAATTGACAGGATTTATAATTTTATATCTTCTATCTATATCAAATATTTTTCTTGTCTTTGAAGTTTGATTGAATGTTTATGTGTCAATAAAGGATATTTCGATTTGATTTTGATATAAAAAAAATACTTTTTTATGCCTGATGCCAATTCTCTACTTTGGAGTTGAAAATACTTTATATTAAGGTGGATGATTTTGTCATAGCAAATTATAAATTGATTATCAAAATGGAATAAATGAGAGAAAATTGGAATTAGATAACGTTGATTGAAAAAGCTATTTCCGCCTGATTACTGAAAAAACTTCATCACAACCTTTGAACATCAACCCGCTGCAGAGAAAAATTCTAAATGCCCGCGCATAAATGTATCTAAATAAATGATACAGAAAGAGCAAAAAATATCGGAAAATAAATAATTGACAAACAGGCACTGCTGGAAGAATTATTTGTTTAGTTATCATTTGAAGCAGCCTAGTAAAGAGCTTTCTTTATTTTTGAAAAAATTTATCGTAAAATATAATAATAATCTCAAAAATTCGCGAAATTCTTTAATCAAAGAACACATTTTTTACTTGAAAACATAACTTCTGTGTGCATTTATAGTTATTATTTTGAGGGAAACTAACACCTGAGTATTCAGCCAATGTTAAAAGCTGTTTAAATTTTAAACATTTTTCTTAATTTCCAAACTTTTAATGGAAGACTAGATACGATTAGGCTCTAGTTTGATGAATAGCTGAGCTAGACAAATTAAAGTAACATGGAATAACTGGAAATTTTATTGTTACTTGCCTTGTCTTAGATTTATCTTCAGTTTACCTGCTGCTTTAAGTCTATATAAAAACAACTGCCAACTGTCCATCTTCAACATTCTGATTCTGGCATTCCTTTTCAGGTTTTAGACTATTATGGATATGTCCTGGACGTCCATTTTCATATGGCAATCATTCTATTACCAATCCTATTGACTGCTCTCATTAGAAACTTAAAGTACCTGGCTCCCTTTTCTACCTTAGCTAACGTACTGATGTGCATTGGCATTATAATAGTTATCTACTATGCATCGCAAGACGTTCCCAGTGTAACTGAAAGAAGATACATTGCTGACTGGCAACAATTGCCTCTGTTCTTTGGGACCGCCATTTATGCCTTCGAAGGAATTGGACTTGTAAGTACCCACCTCCACATTTAACGCTTATCATTCTGCATTTATTGTTGGAACTAAAGGTAAACAATCAGCATTAGCTGATAGCAGGATATTATTAATTAGACGAAAAAGTATAATGCTCAAGTATCCCAAAAGTCTAAAAATTGAACTTTTTCCAGGTTTTACCCTTACAAAATGAAATGAAGAAACCTGGTCAATTCACCAAACCTTTAGGCGTATTAAACAGTGGAATGGTGATCGTGACTATTATGTACCTGGTTGTTGGCTGTTTATCTTACATGAAATATGGAGACGATATTAGAGGAAGCGTTACGCTTAATTTACCACAACATGAAGTGTAAGTCTAAGGCAGCCGCAACCACAATTATAAAAATGCAATTTAAATTTATGGTTGTTTCAGGTTGGCACAATCAGTGAAAATTATAATTCCATGTGGAATTCTTTTGACTTACGCCTTGCAATTTTACATTGCCGTCGACATTATTTGGCCAAATATATTGGCTCTATTGGGACCAAATGTAAAATACCCCATATTTGCCGAACTCTCATTTAGATCGTTTTTGGTGTTAGTTACATGTAAGTTTAAAGCATCAATACTGATTAAATACAGAGTGTTACATGACCAGCTATACACATTTGAGAGGTCACTAGTTTTATGCATAAGAGAGCGGGTCTCTTAAGCACAAGATGGAAGGGACCTGTGACGTTTTTTGACCCAAAAGAAGTCGATCTGTCCCGACTCATATTAAGAAAAGAATGTGTGTGTCACGAGACGCTCGAATTGGCAATTGAAAAATTTCAGAAGTAGCTGAAAATCTCGAAACAACTATTGACAAATTTAGAAATAATAAAAAATCTCGAATTAACTATTCAAAAAAAATTGAATTTTTATAGAAACCATAAAATATTATATTATTATCTCACTTTGCAGATTATAAATCTGCAAAAGTAAGATATATTTTATGATAACTATTAAGAAACGAATTGTGACACTCGACTTTATCTTGCTCGATTGTAACGTGATCTGGAATATTATGTTTTATTGTAACTTTAATTCAAGAAATGACATTAAATTTGCGATCTACCAGAAGAAAAATCAACATTCAAATATCCACTTCACAGAATGAATGGTAGTTTTGGTGATGTAAACTGAAACCTTAAGGCCGGTCGTCCTTTGGATGCGTTTCCGTCCGAACTGCGTTCGTCAGAAGTTGTGCGAAATCGAACGAAGGAAGATTTATTTGTAGGTTTGCTGTGTTTCTGACTGAATAGCGTATATTTTTGGGACACACCGAGCTGAAATCGATGTTGAAAAACTAATAAATCTTACTGATTCTTTTTAAAATCTTCATATTAATGATGGAATCTTTCAAATTCTTTTCGTTTTACTAATGTATCAGCAACCCAATAGCTTTTTATTATTTTTAACTGTAATCGTCTTCTCACAAGAAAACTATTTTCCGAAGAAAATAATCTATTATTATTAACAGTTGTATAATTACGCTGATCGTTATATAATTACCCTCTATAAATGTGCGTATATGATACATTATAACACATGACCAATTGGTATAATAAAAAAACTTCCAGCGGACGATACCCACATATGCGAAATCTGATGAAATTATTCCAAAGGACGTCCGGCCTAAGGTTCCATTTTACTTACAATCTCTCGAACGAATGATTTCGGATCGAGTGTACGAGTTTCAGTACTTTGCAATGAAATTGGATCATTCGCTCCTTTTTCCCACCATCTCTGACGAAAACGCATCCAAAGGACACCGGCCCACAGACTATACACTATTATATCCACACGAACGGACCACAGACTACACACTATTATGTTCAGACTCGCGGGCGGCTGTGTGCGTGCGAGAGTGACCTGCGTACTTGTCTTTATCTATGCCAGACGTAACGACGTCTGGGCTCATTCCATTCAACTCGCACCGGGCCATAAGAAGTTATCACTTCAAAAATGTCCGGCTCCCATGTTATTGATAGACAAAATTCTTCAAAAAAATCATGTTTCTTGAAATATTGAGAAAATTATTGCGTGGATTTTTATAAAAATCGCCTAAACTAATTTACATTAGCAAAAATGGAAAAATCTTTGTTTTGTTTGAGTCTTGGACAAAACAATTGTACCAAAAAAACCGCCGCTGAAATGCCTTGGCACGCAACACCCTGTATAACCATCTAAGACGTTAATCCAACCTTTTTACAACCTATTTTTTGCATTTTCAGTTGTGCTCGCCGAAGCTATTCCATTCCTCGGACTCTTCATCTCCTTAGTGGGTGCGGTCAGTAGTGCTGCCCTTGCACTAATTTTCCCTCCTATTCTCGATACAGTTAGTTCAATAGCAATTGGACAGTTGACTTCATTCAGTGCTTTGAAGAACGGATTTATCATCCTGATTGGTGTAGTGGGAATGATCACCGGCAGTTATGAGAGTATTTCAGCGATCGTAAAAGCTTTTGGTAGCGAAAGCTAAGACGAAGAAAGACATGAAAATGAATGTTTTTGGGCTTGGTTGCCCGTGCATCTGCCCGTTTTAGGGCAGAATAGTAATGCTGCAGATCGAGGAGAAAACTTAAACATCACTCAATTTGACTGTGCCATGTCTGCAGATAGAAAACTTTGATTTTGGATTTAACAAAGCAGTCCTATGAATTATGTTGTGATAGGTTCATGTGATTAGAATATGTAAAATATTTTTTTAAGGAAAACACTATTTTCAGGTCAAAGCAATGTTGATTATATATACAGGTAAACATGTTTTATTTCAGGATATTTATACTGTACATTTTGTTAAATTTAATTTTAGAGATGTAGCGCCCTCGAGTTACTCATTAATGATAATGATTTGTGATATTTTCAATGTTGCGTTCTTTCTGGCGCTCTTAACAGCTAGTTTTTACTTCTAAAATAATAAAACATACTTAGTTGGTTTGTATACGATTAATAGTGAGTTTTATTTCTAAATGTTATCACGCTTGCCTTAGAATCAGGCAAATACAATTCTAAATAACTGTATCTTTTGTACGATCCTTTACATTGTTGTTGTGTTCCAATTACAGTTCTTTGGCTAATAATGCCAAACTTTCATATGTTCCTGCAACTGTTGCCACACATCCAAATATTATAATTAAAACATCTTTAATTAAAATAAATGGTGTCATTTTTTTAAATGCGAGTGTTGCTACGATATCGATAGCCGCCGGAAAAATTGCAATCAAAGCGATACTGAGGAAGGATCCGACAAAAGCCAACAGTATTTGTAGTCTTGGTATTGCTTCAGCCATAACAACTAAAAATAAATTGAATTAATTGCTATAAAGCATTTGCACATTTGGAATTTTATTGATTTATTATTGATAATTTTAAAGAAGCTACCAGTTGACCTAACGATTAAAGAATATGCTTAGCTCTCAGTTAAAATATATACTAAGGTTGATTATTTTGTAAACGGTTGTAAATAAAACTTATTTTATTTTATTCTTGATTTTTATTTCAATTACCATTACAATCAAATAATTCCTGCTATAGTATAGTAGCGTTATGTCTGGAAATGCCACTACCACTACCGAAAAATTATGACCTAATGTTATCAAAATTAACAGGGTTTATATTTAATTTTCTTACTTCTTTATTAGAAAACCGCGTGATGTAATTTATTTACATATAATTCAATGCAAAAAACAGCACAAGCTTTAACGGGTTGATATGATTTAACTAACAAATTTAATGTTGGATAGACAGTGTCCCGTCAGCACATGTTCAAAAGGATACTGCGATATTCTTCGCATGAAAAGAAGACGATCTGATCTAACTTTTATTAACAAAAAATGTCTGGCTTTTCTGCTATTGATGATCAAAATTCTTCAAAAAAAAATATTTTTTGAAATATCGGGAGAATGGTACGATGTTTTTTGGTAAAACTCTGTGAATTTGTTCCTATGTAAGACTCATATTTTGATGAGACAATCGAGTTCATCCGTTTTGGGCAAGTGGCGAATTCGTGAGTGTCGTGGTACAAAAACTCCCAGAACTTTTTATTTGGTGGATGAAATCAACTCATTTTTTTTAGTTGATGTTCTAATCATTTATTCACAATTTTGTACTCTTTCTAAAATCTTGTACCATTCATAGTTTTTGCGAAAAAACGTTATTCCGTTTTCTTGCCCCTTAACAATGTTAGACATTATACATGCAAATATCGTGATTCGAGGCAAAAATAAGCGAAAGTTCATAACAGATTATTTGGAAATCTCGTCACCTCCATACCTCTGAAGAGTGTAGAGTTTGTTAAAAAAATGTGGTTTTTTGTTTTGACTGATTCTTTTTTGTTTTACTTTCTCCTTAAGAACGCTATATTTTATAGTTTCACTTAAAAATACTGACGATCTGGAGGTCTTTTACGCGAAAAATATAAATTCGAAAAGATAAATTTATAGCTTTGTAAACATTTTACAAAAACTTTTTTCAGCGTCGAATTCGGGACAAAAACGAAAGTAAATTCCTCTCGTTTTTTTCCCGAAAACCATTTTTTTTTTCAAAACCGATCACAACACTAAAAGTTTTCATTCGGAAACGCAAAGACCATTATTTTCTGAGGATTTTCTTCTTTTCTGACAATAATGGGGTCTTTTTAGACAAAAATTACAAAATTAATTTTGCTAGAAAATTCGCCTCCTTCATCGGTTTGCAGGGAACTTTAGAAAACCCATTTTTCCTTCGAATTTGGCACAAAAGCCAAATAATTTCATTCAGTTTTTTACCGAAAGTAATTAGGATTATCTTAAAAAAACGACCAGAGAGCAAAAGTAAAAAACAAATTATTTGGAAAATTCGGCGCCCTGGAGTTTTTTAAGTTCCTTTGAATTTTTAGGTCATTCCGGTCTTAACAAATATTAAGCAATTTTTTCTCCGTAAAAATCTCATTATTTTTTTGTTTCACTTAAAATACTCACAATCTTCAGATATTTTCTCTGAAAAATTATAAGATAAATTTTATTGGAACACTCGCCTCCTTAATCGCTTTGCAAAACATTTTTGGAAAACTTTTTACAGCTTTGCATTATGGACAAAACATTAATAATTATACCTGGGTCTTTTTCCAAAAATATTTCCCCGAACTGAAAAAGCGAAAGTTTATAATCATTTATTTGGAAACTGGAATTTTTTCACTTTTAGGTCAATATTTCTAAACAACACTGTCTCTAAACAGACAAACCACGTTTTTACTAACGTTTTACTGTAAAATACTGGCAAACTGAATCGTCGACTTTCTTTGGACTCAGATCGGAAAAATCTACCTTCCGTTTTTTAGTTGTTTGCACAAAGTAGTAAAACGTTACTCAGAAAAAATGTTAATTACAATTTTTTAGATGTGAAAATTCCAGTTTCGGGTCTCGAAAAGCTTTAATAAATCACTTATAACTCATGAACCGATGTTATAACTCGTCAACTCTAGGCTAAAGCTTCAACTTACATATAGTTATTACTAAGGCTGTCCGAAACCATAATTCCACCCAAACCGGATATTTGAATGGACCTAGCCAGAATACAATTTTTGGCCAGGTGATATCGACCGCCACGTAAAGTTGCAGGGAAAAACTGAAGCTAACTCCAACCGATATAAGAACTAGTACCAGTTGACCTAAACTGAAAAAAAAACAATTATAACCAGTTAATGTCTATGGCATCTTCCTAAATAAATTACTTACTATTCTGATGTATTCAAATTTAAAGTAACGGTTTCTTTGATGTCATTTCCGAACTGCAGATATGTTACAGCTCCGAAAAAAATATACGTAACAGTGACCATATGTAGGCCTATGTTCAGAACGCCGTAAGTTTCGTAGAATTCTTCTGGTTCACTCATTTCATTGTATAAAATCAACACCTTGAATATAGTTAATAGGAATATTGAATATTCTATAATTTATTAGAAATTAATTCTATAATAATATTTTACTTCAGCATTGAACGAGATTGATCGTTGGGAGCAAACAGTTTTTCAATAGTTATCAATATAAAAATATTGATTTGCCAGTCGATTCTCTCATTAATTTGTATACTTAGAAATTAATTAAGTTTAACTCGAGTTTTCTAGAATAGAATAGAATTTGAAGAAAATCTAGCTTCCAATTTCAAGCATCTAAGCCATAGTGCTCAAAAACTACAAAGCTCCTTTAGGGCTTCAATATTGTAGGAACAATTATGCATTTAAATCTGAACTTGAAAATAAAAGAGTGTGAAAGAAACAGAAATAGATCGTCTATGGATGGATGCAGAATGTAAAAAACATAAAACTGGGGATATATTTTGATCTGCCAATGACTTCAGACCAAGAGAAATACAATTTACAGAATCCGAAAATAATTATACATAAATGCAATAATGTTTATCAAAAGATGTCAATCTAGGAGTGATTTTGCAGAAAATTAAAGACATTGTTTAGTGTAAACATTTTGGTTTGAAAAGTGAAAGAAATTTATTTTTTGAAAGTATTTCGATTACAAATTTTTGGCTCATAACAGTCAGATAATTTGCAATTTTGCTTTTAATGCCACATTAATTTCAATTATTTTATATATCTATTCATGAATATAAATATTCTAATATTATTTGCAGTTTGATTTTAATATAATAGCTAAATTTTTTAAATAGTGTCAAAGAAGCATATAAAAGGATGACGGTTTGGAAAATTTGTGGATATATTTTTACTAGTTTAGATAGTTTTCTGTTCTTCTGTTCAACATATTTCTTTCATTTGTAATCACTATCTTCAAACTTCTATAGCCATATTATAAACAATTTACATGGATTTTGAAAGTTTAATAATTTTATTACTAAACTGTATGACTAAATGTTGTAAGAAAAACTGATAAAAATAATAATAAATAAACAATAACTTTATACTTTACCAATCCAATGCCTTCGAATGCGAAAATACTCTGCCCGAAAAAAATCGCATATTCGGAAATTCCAGGCACCAACAATCCAGCTGGACATTCGCTGGTTGGTATAGTAAAGGCAAAATACAAAACGATCGCAATGCTTGTCAGCAACGTACAGTTTGCTATTATTGATAAATATGCCAAGCATTTCAATGTTCTAATCAGGCAAGTTATCCAGATTGGAATCACCACTAGGGCAATTATCGAGTGAATGTCCAAGGGGACTTTATAGGCGATCAGCAGCTGGAAACATCAAACAAACAAAAACAGCTTTTTAAAAATTAGCAGTCGATTGTTTGAATAGTCTTTAAAAATCTTTAAAAAAGCACCAATGCCTCACTTCTCGAATATTCCATGAAATGAACACCAAATAACAACAGCAGAATCCTACTTGAGCCATTATGAGGAATACATTTACTGTTAGCTTTGCTACGAAAGCCCAAGCAGGAAATTCGGGGGCAGCTAGCTTGAAACTGAGCTTAGCGGTATCAGCGTAATCCGGTACTCTATCCAGCTTATAATGCTTGTGCAGCATATGAGCGGAATTGACCTAAATTTGTCTTTAATGAAATTATAATTTTCCAGAAGGCATTAAAAATACCTACTAATAAGTGACAGCAATGTAAGCAAATCATTCCAATTAGGAAAGTCGTAATGGGACCGAAAATAAGGCCCCCATTCTTCATGGCATCTCCCATTGAAAATATTCCCGTACCCACATAGCCTTTCACCAAGTGCATTAAGGCTTCTCCGTACTTGAAATTGTGGTCGCTTCTAGCTGGAGTTCTAAGAAATCAGTTAATGTTATTTATTAGTTGGCAGTTGGGATAAATTCTTCTTACCATTCGTCTTACCCTAGAAGATACGTAGATTCTTTGGTCTGGGCAAGTTTTGTCATCTTATCAGATCAAAGTAATAACAGATTCTGTTGAGTGGATCTTCCAGTATTTTTTGCCCATTTTCGATCCTGAGGATGTGACTTTTATATTAAACTTGCCATAGTAAAAGTCATATTTGCCTGACTCTCTAAGATGTGTTCGGAAGGTGAATTCACGATTATTATTATCGGTTAACCATCTCAAATTGTTCATATTATTGACAAAAAAAGCACGAAGATATAAGGAACTCGTCAATAGCTTTATGGGGACCAAATGCGGTTTACTAGTGAACATTTTGCTTAAAGAAACTACCTGTCTGTATTTATTGTCATTTTTATTAATGTCACATTTATTGTCATTGCTGATATTGGTATTTTTTCATATTTGCATGTAGCATCGATGCTATTTTTTATTTGATAGTTTTTTTTCCGTTGCAAAATTTTAATCTAAAACCCTGCTGCTCAGCAGACATTCACAATATGGGTAAGACAGCAAAGCCAGTTGAAGAACTGGGAAACAAATATGGAAAACCAGATATTGAAAGACTGGGCCTCTTCAGCGAAATGCCTTTTATGAACGGGAAAGGATACGTATCTCTATTCGCAAGTATATTTGTATTATGATTATCCCATTCTCTCTATCAGTTTGTTTATTAGCAATAAAGTTATTGGTAAGCATATTTTGTAGAACCCAAAAGAGATATAGGCAGAAATTTACTAGCGGGTGGCCCGAAAACGAAAACTGACTGGCAAGATTGCTATTTTGATACGGAATACAAACGACTTTTCACGGGAGAAGCCATCAAAGGAAGGGGGAAAAAATTGTATTCAGGCAGCCACTATCTTATTGCAAGTTACCTAATTAAATGTTATTTTAGGAAAGCTTCTCCATTCAAAAATGTATCTGAACGCCCATTTATGCCACCAGCCAATGCAAAATTGCACAGCACTCCAGGAGATTGGTATGGTACCTTTGAAGGAAAACTAGATGCTTTTAGCACCAAAATGAAAGCTCGTGCTCCGTTTAAACACGAAGGACCCAACCCTCTTACCAGTCCGGGGAAGAAAGGTGGTTACGGATATGTTAATATCTGTCTAAATCCCTATCCAGATCACAGGTATTATACCTAGCTATTACATAAAGCAAATTTTTTTTATGGTCACTTCATGCTCTAAAACAAAACATTTTTGAGGCACGGTTTAGGTGCCCAGAGAATGCTAAAAGTAATGGCACACTTTATGCTCGATGTTTCTTGAAGGAAAATTCAAAATTTTTTCAAACTGGGTTTGTCTTGGCTTTCTTCTTAAAGTTATGGTTAAGAATATGAAATACTGTATACATATGTTTTTCACGTCGAAAACCTTGCTAGTGATCTACTTTTAGAGTTGCATTCAAAAAGCAATCTTTTACTAAATTTTTAAGCACCCTTTATTACTTTAGTGTTGAAAAATATGGAGCAAAAGCCAAATACAAGCAATACGGACAAACACTGGACGGTCCCATGGTGGTGGGAACTCATCCAAAACCGTTCTTCGAACCCAACCCCTACAAAAATCCTGATAATATCAAACCAGGCCCCACGTATGTGCCTCCAAAAGAGAAAAGCTTGCCTCCTTTACCACCTGGGAAATTTATTCCTACCGGACCGGGAAAATTGGTACTTGGTATAATTTTTTCTCTTTGCTACATTTAGTGATCTCCCAAATATACTAAATAGCCAGGCGGATGTAAAGCCGGATGCTTCGATAAGTATCCAGAACACAAGGCCGAGAAATACAAACCTTCTTCTGAATCGAAGTCTAAAAAGTGGTTCCTTTCTGGAACGTTTCAGCCTCCAGCTTCCGGCGAGAGAAGCTACTACACGTGTTCAGTGATTAACGAAAATCTTCGATTTAGAGTTAACGAAAATAACTATAATGCCTATCAGCCCAATTTTATCAAACACCTGATGTGAGAAAAACATTGAGAAAAATGCCTTTCATTGTTTAATATTTTATTGTGTGAACAATACGTGTTTGGGTTGTGACAACTACAATCTGGTATATTCAAAAAAAAATCTACATCTACCAACAGGGCACACTTTAACGGGAAAAAACTAATTAGAACAATATTAATAGGAAACTAAGGTACATTAGAGAAGGTCTCCTATTCAACAGCTTTAGATCGTTCAAGGAAAATAGTGGGGGTTAGTAAAGAGCCAATAAAACTGGAAACAAGTTTTTATATACATTAACCTAAATTTCGATAAGTCGTTTGTGTGAATATAATAAATAGTAAGCCGCATCTCTATTCGGCAATCCCAGAGCAGGATTGGATGAAACTGTGGCTCTAAAGCAAACTAGGATACATTAGCATTTGCAGATACCTATAATATATGTTTTGTAAATATTGAGCAACTTACTGCGATTGCCCACATCGAATAAAACGCCGATAAAATTAATTTCCTTTGTCAGATATTTTAAAAAATCTCCTTACAACAGAAATTCCACATATACTCAACCAATTAAAATTTGCACGGCAAATTCAACTTAAAATCTCCTTTAGGCCCTGGCAATTTAAAAATCTGAGTATGGAGATTTAGGCTTTTCAAAAGTCATTGGCCTGTATACATCGGCAACCTGACCCCATCCTCTTGCAGCCGTATTGTAATTCTGCACGTTCTCCAAGTTGAATTTCCTCTGAGGAGGCAAAGGTGTAGACAAATACGAATCGTCGTAAGTTTGTGAAGGAGCTTGAGGCGCATAACTTGTAGGAGCAGACAATGTGTTGGGTTGATGAGCGTTGTAGGTGGGGGCTGAGTAAAGGCTGGGCAGGGGGCTGTCGCTCTCCTTTGGCACGAATACGGGAGGAGCTATATTTGGCTTGAACGTAGGCGATAGTGGAGGCTTGGAGCGAGACCTTGGAAGCGTTGCTGAGCCTAAAGCGAGTCATATAGATCAGAGCAAGAAAACTCTCGCTGGCATCACAAATTCACTAGGTGTAGCTTATCCAGTAGACTAGTTCCCAGAGTTAAAACTTTAGAAAACGATAACGCTTGGTTAACGATTGTAATTCGTGCTTAAGTTTGGCATAAAAAAATAAAATGTATAAATTATTATCAAACTGCTCACAGGGTGAAAAAAAATGAGTGCCGGCAAACCTAACATAACAACATTGGGTCAACTTATTTGGATGAAATTTTATTTTAATTTTTATTATGGAATAAGGGAAAAATATAAGTAACATCTAATAATAATTTCCACAGCCGGCAAATTCAT